TCCTGCTCATCGCTTGGGAGAAGAGGCCAAATCCCTCTTCACCACAACCTCCCTTCAGGAGGTGCAATGAGGTCTCCCCTGAGCCTCCTCTTCTCCAGGCTGAACAATCCCAGCTCCCTCAGCCGCTCCTCATAAGACTTGTGCTCCAGACCCCTTCACCAGTTTCGTTGCCCTTCTCTGGACACGCTCCAGGGCCTCAATGTCTTTCTTGTAGTGAGGGGCCCAAAACTGAACACAGTACTCGAGGTGCGGCCTCACCAGTGCTGAGTACGGGGGGATGATCACCTCCCTGCTCCTGCTGGCCACACTGTCAGCTCATGTTCAGCCGAGCATCAACCAACACCCCCAGGTCCTTCTTCACGCTCATCCCCAAGCCTGTAGCGCTACATGGGGTTGTTGTGCCCAAAGCGCAGACCCTGGCACTTGGCCTTGTTGAACCTCATCCCATTCACCTCAGCCTAGCAGTCCAGCCTGTCCAAATCTCTCAGGCAGATCGACACCACCTCCCAACTTGGTGTCATCTGCAAACTTACTCAGGGTGCACTCAATCCCCTCATCTAGGTCATCAATAAAGATATTAAACAAGATGGGCCCTGGGGGACACCACTTAAAACGGGTCACCAGCTGGACTTCACTCCATTCACCACGACCCGCTGGGCACAGCCCTCTAGCCAGTTCCTTACCCAAAGAAGGGTAGACCTGTACAGACCACAGGCAGCCAGTTTCCCCAGAAGAAGCCTGTGAGGGACCGTGTCAAAGGCTTTGCTGAAGTCTAGGAAGATACATCAACATCTTCCTTCGTCTACCAGACTGGTCACCCAGTCATAGAAGGAGATGAGGTTGGTCAAGCACGACCTGCCTTTCACGAACCCGTGCCGTGCAATCTCATTCTAGATGATTTGCTCCATAACCTTCCCTGGTACCAAGGTCAGACTAACAGGCCTATAGTTCCCCCTATCACAAGCTGATCTCAAAAATAAATAAATAAATAAATAAATAAAATTAATTAGAAGCAGCAGTACATGTGGGAAAAAAAAGTTAAAGTAGTAATTCCAATCAATAACACAGCAACAGCAATTATCAGTCTATTGCAAAACTCATAATGAAGCCAGCAGTGGAGCTTTTCACTTATGTTCAACTTGGGACTCAGTAGCTATATTTCTACAGAGCAAAGCAACATCTAATAGGAAAATTATTTTCTTGTCATCAGGATGGAACATTGAAGAGGAATGTCCTTGATGTAATTTATTTCAATTACCCTATAGATTCTGAAGTAATGACATTGCATTGTCTGAATCCTAAGATAACAGCATTATATATATATATATATAATATAATATAATATATATATGTATATATATATACATATATATATATATTATATAATATATCAAATTTTATATTATTTTATAGGAAAGAATGCTTCTGTAACTAGTGGTCAGAAAAAATTAAATAGTCTTCCATTAGAGAAACTAGCTTCATTTATCAAGATACATATAGCAGGGAAAGAGGAGGAAGCATACGGAAGTGACACTTATCCAGTAAGTATGCATCTCCAGCATCCACTCACTGTGGGGCTGGACCTTCCTGCTGAACTGGTAGCTTTGTCATTAATAACCTTAAATCATTCCTCTCCACTATGAATTTTCTTTATTGTTATGGGTCTGCATAAGCTTTTAGCATCTACTACATTGCAGCAATGAGTTCTACATCTGAATTATACTAAGTGAAAGTACCTCAGAGCAACTGTTTTGAACCTGCTTCATTAATTTTGGTACCCTCTGAGCTTGTACTATTAGTGAGAGGACTGTTTCATTCCCTAGTCACGTTTTCTTTCTGCTGCAGATTTTTATAACATTTTAACATATGCCTTTCCCTCCAGACTCCTTTCTTCACAATGAGAAGCCATTTTCCTTCATCTCCTTTGGATTTCATTTTAATATCACTATTTTTTCCCCAGCATGAAGTGGTTTCTGTGGTTTTGATTCTCTCTTTCTTTTATGCCATCACCAGTATGAGTTTATTCAGGACATCCAGGTCCCAGCTAGGGCATGGGTAATGTTTTATGGATCTTAAAGCAGACAATGGAGGTGCTGCAGATGATAGGTGAGTTCTTCACTTTTGGTGAAGTTTCTGCAAATCCTTGTATCATAGAATGACCTGGGTTGAAAAGGACCTCAAAGATCACCTAGTTTCAACCTCCCTGCTGTGTGCAGGGTCACCAACCACTAAACCAGGCTGCCCAGGGGCACATCTCCATTGTAGTTGGAGTTTAGTTTAATTATCCTGATAAAGTTGGTAAAGCAAACTTTTCTTCTCACTTCTTTTTTTTCCCAGTTATTTCTGAATATTCAGATATGCACAAGTCTCAGAATGCCCCAGTCCATTGGGGTCCCAATGCTCAGAGCCACCAAGAAAAATGAACTTACACACCTTTTTCCCTAACAACCTGATACTTATCAGACTTTCTCCTTTTCTCTAGAAGCTCTTTAAGCTTCTGTAGTGATGGACCTTGTCAAAGGTGGACTGAAAAATCTGAGCGGATCTTATTTTCCTGGATGCCTTTTAACAGCTTCTTAGCACTTAATGACATCCCAGAAAAAAGCCATGTTGACTCTATACCCAGTGCAGCGATTTCTCAGTTTGCCTATTAATTCTTCACGTTATTATGCTGTCACTTTGCCCAATAGAGCTGTCAAAGTCTCTGCTTTCTGATCTTTCTTCTCTCTATTAGAAAAAATGGTGCCACCTTTGCCACCGTATTTCCTCTAAAATGGAGCCCTTCTTTATAATGTTCCACGCTGGAACTGTAATGAGATGTCTGATGGTATTCAAAACTCAGAAGACAATTTAAAAATGAACAGGGAGGAGAAAGCAGGGAAAGAAAAACAAAGAATTTAACACTAAAGCACTGCGCTGCATATAATTTGGATGCCTCAGTGGAGTAAGCTAGGTATTGGTGAGGTCTTACAAATCACTGAATGTCTTTGGTCTGCAAATAGGTAGAGCAAAAGTTAAACATAGTTTTTAAAAAACCTACAACATTCATTTATAAGGCAATTTTAGGTCATGAGCTTAAGTAATCTAAGATACTTATTTTCTAAGTTTCATTTAGATGTTATTATACTGTAATAACAGGTTGGCTTCTTCTATCAGGTAACTAGTGACAGAATGAGAAGTAATGGCCTTAAGTTGCACCAAAGGAGGTTTAGGTTGGTTATTAGGAAAAACTTCATCTTGTAATGAGAACGCTGCCCAGGGAAGTGGTGCAGTCACCGTCTCTGCTGGCACTCAGGAAATCTGTAGATGTAGTACTGGGGCCACACTTTAGTGGGCATGTTGGGGATTGGTTGTGTTTGGACTAGATGATCTTAGTGGTCTTTTCCAACCAGGATGATTCTATATTACATATGACAAGTATTGTACTATATTATATATTTACACTTATGTAAGTTGCATAATCAACAAGTATATAGATGTATAATCAACAAGTACACAGAGAAGTTAAGCTGGTCTTTAGAGAAATATTGCTGGAAAGACTATCATGTTGGAAAGGGATAATCGGAAATAAATGGAAGAACTTAGCCATGTCCTGAGCTCGCAAAAAAAAGACTCCAAGAGGAGTGATCTCCACAGTGATCCTTCCTCAGCGGCAGTCAGCCCTTAAATGGGGTCTAGAAGAAGTGGAGCCAGGCTCCACCCCTTCAATTCACACAGCTGAACTGTCTAATTGTCTTCACCTGTGCTCCCACTACTGACTCACTGCTTGCCTCAGGTGATCAATCAGAGGTTCAGGCCATGACTCAGTAGCTCTCATACATAAGTACAACTTGTTCACTATATATCTTCCCTACACACTTTTCTTTATCTAGAGAAATGTTAACAATTTGCTTTGCTTTTGAGGTGGAAAGATTTTTAATTGCAAAAGGTAGTATTACAGGCATGGATAACAAAAAGCTGTATCCATTTGCAACACAATTCTTATTACTTATAGCACCATTATATGTTCTACATATGCTGGCTATCCTTTCCTCCTTAGGTCTAGGCTGTGAGTACAAAAAGCTAACTAGGCACTAATTTATAGTATTACTTCTCTGAGTTTAGTAAGATGAAATGTATTTCCTACTGTCTAATGTGGTGGGTGTGAGAGCTAAATCTAGGAAAAGTAACAAGATGTAGTTATGGCTTATCACTTTGCAATCTAATCTGTCAATCATCTATAAGGAACTGATGCACTCAAAGTTATACAGCCTGATTATTAGATTGGTCTGATTCTTTAATTTCTTGGGGGTAATCCTTATTGTTATACAGTTTTATGATACTTATTGATAGGGTTAACATCTAAGCAAAAGATGAAGTAACAGCAGATAAGCAGAATGAGCTTCTGCTACAAGCTCTAAATACACTGAACTTCCATTGCTGGGCTCTCACAGTATACTCAAGTTGCAGCAGGTGTAGCAATTGGAGAGATCAATGCAATGGGAAAAGTGTTAAAACAAAGATGAAATGACAGAAGGATCAGCACGATAGAAAGATGCTACAAAGGAAGAGAAGAAGATTACTCACCCATAGTATCAGAAGATTCCAGGTTCGCAGTAGAAATCTTCCCCAAGGAGGGATCTTCAGAAAGAGATCCTTCTCCACTGGCAGTCAGCCCTTAAATAAGGTTTGAGAAGTGCAGCCAGGCTCCACCCCCTTAGCTGCACAGCTGAATTGCCTTCACCTGTGCTCTCAGTGCTGACCAGGTCCTCTCCCCAGGTGCTCAATCAGTGGTTCAGGCCATGACTCAACAGATTCCATATAAGAAGGTCATAGCAGTTTCACGGGGACAGATGTGATACTAATTCTAAACTATCCATGCATTTTTCAACTGACTGATATAGAACAATCACGTTCAGTTCAGGCTGATTATTGTGGGAACCATGCTAAGATGCCATGTACCCATTATTAGGATAAATACCAAGAAACAACAATACAAATGCATCTTTATGACACGTAACTTTATTAATCATGGTCTGGGATCTGTCGCACCTACCAGGTGCCTGTCTTTTTTCACACTCTGCAAGACTTTCTGAAGAATAAACTAGAAAGGCATAAAGTTAGTTGAAGCTACTAAGACACACATTTGTAGGTGGGTCTGTTTTGAACTTTTTTTTTTTTTTTTTTTAAACAGAAGTTTCTATGAATGTGTGCCAAAAGACAAAATTAAATACGTTGAGAAATACAGTAGAAAGACTATATTTACAGTCAATTATAACGGGCACTGCCAACATATCCAATAACAAAAATAAAACAAAAACTTTTTTTCATGTTTCTTTCATGCTTTTTTTCACAGAGATTTTTAAATATGATTTTGTTTTTAAAAAATACAATAAGGAAATAATTACATTCTTAATATGAGAACATTATCTTACAACACACAGCCTGGGCCAATTAGTTTGAAAGTGTCTTAAATGAAAAAAAAAAAAAAAAAAAAAAGTAAATTAAGTACTCTCCCTCTGAAAAATCAAATTACCAAAATCATCTCATTAAAAAAACCCACATTTGATCCCCCAAGATTATGATGTTGTCTTTAAAAAATCATCACCTATTTATTAAAAAAAATTTCAAAGCACCTGGTACAGTAAAAAGAGTTTGAGGAAGCACGAGTATAACATCTTGTCAAAAGACACAGAAATGCAATGTTTTAAGATACAATATTTTTCCATTTAAAAAGTCATACTGCTCTATTGCTGACTTTGTCTGGTGATCCTGAAATCATAAAAACATGGAAAATACATGCTCTGTTGCTTTTCATATAAATCGCACTGCAACAGTACTGTTAGACAAAATGGAATGTATTTCACAGCACTGGATGTGGTCTATCAAGAGGTTATTTCCAGAGTTGTTGTTTGCTGTTGTTTCATCCTTTCAAAACCTTGGCTATTATACAGAATAGATATGTCACTAAAGGATAATTGCAGTGTTACCAATGCACTTAGACATTAGAAACATACAATTGCAGTATGGGGTTACAGGGGAGGGGGAATGGCTTTAAGGACCCTTTGCAGGAGGACAGGTGAAAGGGCATGGAAGATACAACACCAATATTGGGTAAATAAGATTGACTCAAAGGAATTGAATTTGATTACTTTTGATTACTCTGCGTTACTTGATGTGGGACCACTTAATGGGAACTGTTCCATCCTTGCAAATGTTGACTAGAAGCCTAATTTCATCATAAATATGTACAGATATAAAATAAATATTTATTGAAATATACAAATAAATAACTTAATTTGAAATAAAAAGCCTAAATGAACTTTTCTTTCAAATTTATTTTTGCTAAAATTTATGGGAACTTGATACTGCTTAGTCCATAGTCATACAGTATGGGATGTACTCTCCACTTACAGAGTCAGTAAGTAAGCAGACCTAAACTAATATAAAATATATATATATATATCCTGGTTTCACAGAGAACCACTTTGATATGTGTTTCCCATTATATTCGCATTCTCGTGGCTCCTTGTGCAAAGCACAGTCCCAAGAAGCAAAGAACCTTCTCTAATTTTGAGCCCCGTTTCTTTTCTCCTCTGCTAAGGTCAGTTAGATCCCTAACTGCATTTGGGAACAGGATTTAGCCCTTGGATATGGACTGCTATGGACCTACTTTTCAAAAGCACTTGGCATTCACGGTGGCCTGACTGGAGCGAGCTGCTGTGTGTAGAGACTTACTGACAGCTCAGTGCTGGGGCCCTGGGTTTACTGATCCAAACAGCTCTCACAGGAGTGCCTCTGATGCAGGTCAGGAATGAGCTGAATGCTCAGCTGACCACATCAGCTGTCACAACCTGTGTAGGCTTCAGGACTTACAGTTCTTCCTAAAGGGAAGAGGCAACCTGTGGGCCTGGGCCATAAAGAGATCTGCCATCCTTGATAACTATTGCATTGCCAGCTTCTGCGATTTTGAATTGCAAGTCCTAACCATCTACCAAGATTCCAACCCTAACTTTTCCAATTATCTCAAAATATGAGTACTATTTCAAATTTTCTTAAATTAGTTTTTTAATCTTCACAGTTGAGGAGAAAAATCTTGAGAACATGACTGAAGGCTCTCCAAAAGCTTAAAAAAAAAAGACACAGAGAATAAAAACCCCAATTTATTACATGTTGTTTTTTTCTCTCTGTCTTATGCCAATCTTGAGATTTTGAAAGGCTTCAGCTGGCAATTTAATGCATGTAATTTCACAGGAGTGACACGGATAGAGACAAAGATGAACACGTCTACAATGTCACAGATTAAAATACAAGATACTGATTCCTAGAAATCCGACTTCTGTCTGAGAAAATCCCCAATTCTTTGTAAAAATGTTTATAAAAAAGACTTAAAATTATCATCCTTTCAGTCTTGTCTTCCTCAAAAATAACAGCTGAGGTCTGAAAAGATGAAGAAAATGAAGTACAGCAGTGTTCTATAACTCAAGTTTAACAATACTATATTTTAAAAAAAAACATGACAGACCTCAAAAGCTATTCTGAGTTGCCATTATCTGTTGAGTATTAATTTCAATTACGTTTCTTTTTCTTTTTCAAAAAGTATAGAAAAGAAGTAATATCTAAAAATACCTGTTTGCCTTCTAACAAAATCAGAAATGAATCACTGCTAGACAACAAGACTTTGGAAAATGACTGGTGCCTCAGAATAAAGCTAATGTACTAAAATCTATTTTTTCAATATGTGGAAGCTTTTTATTTCCCAATGACAAAAATCTATCTTAAAAAGCATCCAAAAACTCTTCACAGCTGAGTTGTGTCATTCCACTGTCTCTCACTGCCATCAAGGCAGTAGCAGTGACAAATTCCCCACTTCCCAGTCCAAGCAAGTCATGCCATTCATGTGAAGCCATTTCTTCAGTTTTCTTTTGCCACATGGACCGCTAATAGCAACGTGGCCTCACTTGTGGCATGCAGAGCTCTCCAAAGCAGTGTTACCTGCAAGAGTACTTATCTGAAATGAGTTCACATCTGTCTTAAATAATGCACCAGTCTTCAGTGCTGTTCAGGCCATTTGATGCAATGTAATTCACATTGCTGGTCTGTACTGTTTCAGCAAAGTAAACTTTCAATTGCAACTATATGCCTCTTTTTACTTACTATGGTTGGTTTGCTTTTTGGTTTCCATTTGTGTTACCAGTGAAGCTGGAAATAAAGAGTTACAGGTAATAAAAAGGGGCACATGTAGTTACACAGCAATACAGTAGAGGGAATACAGGCAAATTAGCGCCAAGCTACCATTAACTTAACAGAATTATAAAACCTCTTATGTTGTATCGCTTGATACACCGGATGAGTCCTTTGCAGCCTATGTTGTGGTCCATAATAGGCAAAGCCTTTATGGAAAGTGAGTGGTTTTGCTGTACTTATGTTCCATTCTTCATCTCCCATTCCTGAAAGGGGGAAAAGAAATACAGAAAATGTTAGAGAAATCAAGATATTTCGCCAGTGTCATCAGATCTGCTAAGCCAAAGCCAGCTGAGGTCAGCAACAGTTTTTTCACTGACTCTACCGGATTCAGCCACTAGCCCTCAAGTTAGCTACAGAATGCTAAAAAGTATGGACTGATACAGTCAGTTTCCACCTTCCTTCCATTCAACTACACATGGAAACCTTTTCCTTTCTAGAGCTTTCTACGTTACATATGTGAGAAAGAAGCAAGCACTGAATATCTGTTATAGCTGACATACAGTGATTGCTATTCTCTTCCATTTTTAAAAATTTTTAATTTTTTAACAAAATTCCTGATAGGCACACGTTTATATGACAAAAAAGTGAGATTCAGGTAGGGTAAAGTAAATCAAATAGTTAACACTAAATTTGTTTCCTATATACAGAATCCAAGTTGATCTACTGCTCATTAAATTTTAGAAAACTTTTTGCTTTCCTATAGCTCAGTTTCCCTGCCTCTTAGCTGATGATAACAAATGTTACCAACCACTGCAAAGTATGCAATCTATAATACTTTCATTCAGGTATTTGAAAGAAAAGTATTACTACTGCAACTTCATATCACAGAATCATAGAACCCTTAGAGTTGAAGGGGACCTTTAGTGGTCATCCAGCCCAACTCCCCTGCAATAGGGACATGCACAGCTACATCAGGCTGTCCAGGGCATGATCCAACCTCACCTTGAAAGTCTCCAAGGATGGGGCATCCACCACATCTCTGGGCAACCTGTGCTAGTGCCTCACCACCCCCACTGTAAAAAAAAAAACTTTTTCCTTATATCCAACCTAAATCTCCTCTCTTTAAGCTTGAAGCCATTTCCCTTTGTTCTATCACCACAGACCCTGCTGAAGTGTCTGTCCTCTTCTTTTCTGTAGCTCCCCTTTAGATACTGAAAGGCCACTATCAGGTCACCTCAGAGCCTTCTCTTCTCCAGGATGAACAGCCCCAGCACTCTCAGCCTGTCCTTGTAAAAGAGCTGTTCCATCTCTTGGAGAATTTTTGTAACCCTCCTCAGGATGTGCTCCAACAGTCCATGTCTCTCCTGTACTGAAGACTCCACATCTGGATACAGTATTCCATGAGAGGCCTCACCAGCATGGAGCAGAGGGGGAGGATCACCTCCCTGTCCTGCTGGCCACACTTCTTTTGATGCAGTCCAGTACATAGTTGACTTTCTGGGCTGCAAAGGCACATTGCTGGGTCATGTACAGCTTCCCATCCACTATTACCTCCAGGTCTTTTTCAGCAGGGCTGCACTCAATCCTTTCATCCCCAGTGTGTATTACTGGTGGATGTTGCCTCAACCCAGGTGCAAGACCTTGCATTTACATTTGTTGAACCTCATGAGGTTCACCTGGTCCCACTGCTCAAGTCTGTCTACGTCTCTCTACACCACACCCCACAGCTTGGTATCATCAGCAAACTTGCTGAGGATGCACTTGACCCCACTTCTTCTGCTACGTAAGTGAAAAATCATAGTGATTAGTTTAGCTATGTTTAGTTTAGCTATGGCTAAACACCCCATTAAATCAAACTTGTGGCTATTGATTTGGCTGATAGCTACAGTACTTCCTAACAATACAATGGAGCAGAGGAGATAAAGAAAGCTGGGCTCAGCCTAGTACATCTATGATGTACCAAGTCCCTAAATCACATCCATACAGAGATAGGAAATAATGAAGCTCTAAAGGAGTTGGCCTCTCACTGAAGTAATCTCTGTGGAGCCATCCCACAGCTGCTCTCAGCCAGGAACAGGGGTCTACAAATTCCTCTCCCAGCCATTGACTCTGCAGACATGCTCTGCAGGCAGCTTGCTAACTTGGCTCTCAAGCTGAATTCCTGAGTTTAACACTCACTCCACATTATTTAAAAGCTCTAGCTGAGAACTTTTATTTATATATGTAAATATCTCTTTCTGCTGCTGAAAGCGGTAAAAGCATCAGTTTGGCTAAACAGCTCCATGACTGTGACACACTATAAAACACCATCAAAAGTCACAGTTGGAAGCTTTAGAAATGCAGGAAAAATAAGTTTACTACTTTTTTTTAAGCTTGGCTAGCTTTTTTCCATATAAAAGGTAATGTTATTAAAGTATAATACATTTTTAACATTTAATTTAACAATTTAAATTATGGTAAACCTAAATTTAAAACACAGTATTGATGAACTCTAGATTACTTTTTAAAACGGGTGTTAAATATATATTCTCTTTGTCTGTGCTGCCAAAGCTCTAAAGGAAGTGCTTGGCTGAGCAACTGGGAAGAGAATTTTTTTTAAAGAAGTGTTAAATAAGCCTTGAGAGCAGCAGCTTCTTTTGCAGGTGCAGAAGGAGTGTCTGTTGGTTTCCATTGCTCCTGCAGGTTCAATTCAATGAAAGAATGTTTAAGTCAACACCGACAACCTGACTGGGAGCTGGGAAACCGTAAGATTTCATTTTACTACAGTCTCCCTCCTGCAGCACAGATTAACAAAATCACAATTCCTTCTGACTGACCCAAAATATTCCCCAATACGCTAAAAACATGGATGTTACAAGAAAAGTTAAAAAAAAAAAATTAAAAATCCAGCAGCAGAGAAGGATGCAGTGCTCCAGGGCTGCCAAGAGGGTGGATGCAAACAAGAGGGGCTGGTGACAGGCCTGGTGCAAGGGGAAGAGTGAAAAGGGAGGCATTCAGTGCAGAGCAGAGAGTGAAAAAAAACCAACATTGTGAATGCTTATACAACCATAACATTGGGAGACTTGCCAGCTGCTGAAGACACAAGTGTTAGCACGGATGTGAAATCCATTTCACTCCCACACATTGCACTGACATGCATGTGCCGAAGCCAAGTTCTGCTCTGAGATACTCACGTGTGACTCCTTTTGTTTAGCCACATCTATAAGGCCTGGGCTCACTCATAACTGCAAAAGGCCAGAAGAATTGAGAGCCAAATTCCACCCTCACATATGCACATTTAGCGCCCACTAAAAGGCGGGTGTGCTGCAGATGCATACCTGATGGCAGGATTTGGCTGCTGCTCCTGGCGAATGGGCTGAGCACAGCTTGGGTTGCACTATCTAATTCAGCAAAATTTCATTGTTAATATTTAGTGCGTGAGGCTTTCAGGAAAAAGCTGCTAAAGCTGAATTGGATATTTTGAGTTATTTTTCCCAGGGTGGGAAATGCACTTAGTAGCTCTATAGACTTTCAGATTAATCTAATCTTATATTCATGATTCCCCTCCAACAGGACTTGACCAACCTATTGTGCCACCCAAAGTGCAGTGATATCGAACAGCACAGCAGGACTTTCCCTGTACGGTATAAGCTGAACACAAAAATGAAATACAGCTGTAAAGTATTCTTTACACCAACACTGTTCAGGTTTTTATACGTTTCTCCAGATCAAAAGATTAAATGTGCCTGACCAGTCTGTAGCACTCATGAAAAAAAACCATGCTGCTTTTTGTCAGGACTGTGCTCTAACTGCTAGACACACTTCCCCAGTAATGCTGTGCTAACATGCAAATCTAAAACAAAAATGTGTAGCTAAAGATGATATCTTTATGAGACAAATTATAGCATAATTGGAATTCAAAGATAAGCTCGGGAGTGCACAAATTCTTCTCCAAGTTTCAAATAGAAGCACCAAACTTCAAAGTTAATAAGAATTGAAACCAATCACTCCCCGTTTAATTATTCTTAGCTGAATGTAAATGAATCAGGGCAACTGACAGAAAAGGCTATGATGCCCATGGCAAAGAGGGAGGAAGTTGTGGAAGGCTGGTGGAAACGCACTCACATAAGCTACAGCAGGAGAATTAATTCACTGCAATATTGAGAGCATAATGGTGGCTAGAAGAAACACAGGGAGTCAATGCTTGAGTCATAGAACCAAATAATCTGCTAAGCTGATGATTTTTTTAGTATCTAGTACATTTAAGCGTCAGGCTTATGCTCAGATAATGTAAATGTGTTTTATTAATGAAGGCCGTGACTGCTTTTAACAAAAGTTATTTAAAAAAAAAACCAACTACCTTGAATAATGTTTCATTACTTTGGAAGAAAGAAAAAAAAGGGATGGCACAGAAACAGCTGTCTGTGATTATTATTACTGATAATTACAATTAGAAGTGAACTACCCAATCAACAAAAGCATGAGCCAGTACTACTACTGTTACCCTTACTTATGTGCTGCCCACATGCTTATGTTCTATTGCAAGTTCACAAGAATGGTCATGCAAATCCCACTGAATATAAAGCACAAAAATTAAAATTCTGTAACAGTACAACAGGAATGCAAACTTCATCCTGGTACGTGTTGAATTATATTAAACTGATTATACTTTAAATGCATTTTAGGAGTAAGTAAATTGCATTTTCAATTAATATAGTGCAGGATTATTCTGTTCTTGTACAGCTGGCAAAGATCAGCCCTGATAATGTGTTCCATCATAACTGTGAGCTCTCAGACACATTTCAGCTATGCTGCTTAGTGTAACACTGAATTTTGGATGGGCTGTCTACTCTACATACAACTTTTCTTGCAAATTAAAGTTAGAAAGGAACACAGAGAGAAGTGGAATTAAATCTGATTATCAATTAATCTACAAATGATTCCCCCAAATCACTCCTGCCTAGAAGAAAGCATTTATAAAGCATAGGTGAAGTAATACAAATGATCTTGACATGGCACTGCCACTTCTGAAAGCTAAATTTCACCCACAGAAAAAAGAGCCAGTATTTCCCTCCCTCTCTCTCTCATCTCTCCACAAGTAAACATATACATATTTTTTAAAGTACATAAGAAAAAGGACAGAGAAAGGAAACTATATATGTCTTCTCACCTTTGCTTTTCGAAGTACATGCCCCCGACATGGAGAACTATTCGATGAGGGAGGTCGCTTCAGAGCTGCTGCACTGTTCACAGGTATTGAGCATTCGGTGTCACTGGTATCACAACTGGAGATTGGAGAGTTTTCCAAAGTTCGGTGCTTGAAAACTGGGGACTAACAAAGAGTGAAAACCATACGCTGAGTTTCCTCCAAGTAGTCACAGAGGCAATAATGCTTAGACTTAGAAATGCAGAAACTACTTTTAAAGAAATTGTATTCATGATGATGATGAATAAATGAAAAAGGAGGTAGAACAAAAATAGAGTGTATGTTCTCTAATGAAAATTCATTTTCTGTAATAAAATGACAGTGGGTAATGGGGACAGTTTGACACATGGCTGTATGATCTCTGTGATACAATTACCCAGCTGCTGCAGCCAGGACACCATACTCCATCACCAGTGTGTAGGAGGTAGTCACTGCAAAGGGTGACAGTGTGACCAAAACAAGCAGATCTCAGTCACTGCATGATGATACGGTGTATTTAAATCTCTTCTTGGGAATGAGAAATATCTCAGTTTACAAACTCTGTCTACAAACCCTGAGGACAAGGGGGAGTCAGCTTTTGAGCGTTATCCTAACACAAATATTAACTTATATATATACAACTTGTGATTCCCTTCTTCTTGCTCCCCACTGCTCTAGAAAGTATATTGCACAGAGATGAAGAATCCAGGTAATGAAGATAAAAAAACCAATTCTGTTCTTATTTCATGCGCTTCATAAACCTTTGGAAAAGTCTGACTTCCCACTTATTTTAATGGAGCCACCCTGTTGTCTTGGAATCTACATACCTGTGGACTTGATGTTCCTGACTTGGGCTCAATAGCCAAGCCCAGTGTGATGCCACCAGCCAGGGCTTTCTTAAGGCTCTCTTTCACCTCAGTCAGTTCTAGCTCCAGGTTTACACGCTCAGCCTCCTTTGTTTTACATTCCTCTTCCAGCTTCTTTAACTTGTCTTCAAGAATCACTTGGGTCTTCCTGCCTGTCATCCACAGCAATGTTGTTATTTCAACAGGAAGCTTTAATTGACACTTCCACAAAAATTATTTTCTTTTTTTTAAAGAAAAAAAAGAAGGGCTCAAAGAATCACTTCATAAGAATGTTTTATAATTTGCAGAAAAACATTTGTCACGTAAAAAGTTTAGCAATGGGAAGCAAATGCGTTCTTTCAGGCTCCTTTTCTAGATTTGAAGTCTAATTACAAATCAATGTTTTTGTTATTTTTCCATGTAATGAAAACATAATTAGCTAACCACAATAAAATTATTCCCATATTATGCTTGCTTTACATATTCATCACTATCATTTCATAGGTGTGTTTATCTATATGTACGCACACATCTTCATACAAAATTTGTGTACGTGTAAAAACCAAATACAGATATTATAGAGTATAATTTAACATCAAGACCAAATTTCATGTAATGGCATCTCTTCATCACAGAATGCCACAGGCAAGACTGAGCACAAAAAAGCATCTCATACCAGCATTCACTTCAATGGCAGCACGTAGATCTTTCCTTTCTTTTCGGAGCTGGGCCAGCCTATTCCGCAGCGCTTCTTTCCTCTTTAGCAGTTCCTCTTCTTTGCTCTGTAGCCTCTTTGCATCAGCCTCCACACGATTCTTACCATATTTGTACTGTTCTGCATCTGTATATATTAGATGGTAATTATTTATTTGATCTAGTTGTACCCTGTCTGCTGCCGTTTAAACTCTGGTCACAGGTTGAAATGGTAGACACAAAAAACTTAACCCTCCTCAATCTAACTTTGGGTTAATCAAGCCTTTATAGAATAGATGTGTGTGAGTGTACATGTGCTTCCTCAGCTGTTCAGGCAGCTCGTTACCTCAATGGCTCGGTTCAACTAACAGTAAAACCCAAAACTATACCTGGAACTGAAACATCACATGATGCACTTCATGTTTGGAGGACATCCATCTTCCACTGGCTTTTTCTGAAGTTATGTGATTCCTGCTGAGCTCTGAAGCACAGCTAAGGAAATACTACAGGATAGACAGTTTAATCTCTAGGTTTTGTTACAGTGTTTTTTAAAAATGCCTTGAGCTTCTTTGTAGTTCAGAGCAAGGAAAGAAAGCTTCTATTTATCTCAGAAGCCCTGATTTTTAATTTGAAGTGGTCAAAGGAAAAACTACGTTTGCCCTTTTTAGCTAGCTTCCATTTCTATTTCTAGTACCTAAAGCACATGTCTTTTCTCACCTGACTGAATAGAACAAAACGATATTCTCCGTTTGTTACTTATAAGCTTGCTTTCTTTCCTTCTTCTTCTTCTTTTTTATTTCCCATAGAAATGCTTTTTTTTCCTGGCTCACATATATGTGTTCTAATTTATTTCACAGACACAATTATACCTCTGCTCCTGCAGCAACTTAAAGGAAATAGGTCACCCCACAGATCAGCTTGTCTGCATATCTGCAAGCCATCCATTGTACCTAAACTATTCCTGAGAAACAGCTGCCTAACCAGTGTAAGTCAGCCATTGGTAACTGAGATGCCTTTTCTCCAGCAATCTACTCCAATGTCAACTGACTTCAGTATTTGGAAAGACACAATTTTTTAACCCTAAAACCTAACTTTATTTTCTTATATTCCCCTTAAATCCATGACTCCTGAAAAATTTACCATAGTCTCAAAAAGTCACATTCATTCCTTCACTAGCAGAAGCCAAATTTTGGAATCCAAATCTTAAAAATTACAACTATAGGTCTTTGTTGTCTTTTCTTTTTTAAGGGAAACTCTCTCTGTTAGGATTGCTTTTAATTATTGAAAATTCAAGGGCTGGAAATTTGACAAGTCTCCTCATACTTTCTTCCTATAAAATTTCTCTTCTGAACCTCCATCTCAGAAAGGATGTACTCATATTACCTACAGGCAATCCACCTGCCCAGAGGAATCCATATTCTGAATCCGCTGTTTATAGTCTGAAATCTCATCTCTCTAAGGAAGCTTTTAAGCTGTACATTTGTTTTCATTATTTTGTTATATCTTTTTCATTAGAGATAAGAGTAATTTTTCTTAGGAGCACCATAATGTTCTCATGACTTTCCTAGCTTCTCACTCTCCTCTTCCCACAGGAATACAAAATTACCTTACACTCCAAATGAAGAATCATTACTAATTTTTTTTCCTTCTGCTCTCATGGCTTTTTGCAGCCACAGAGATACATTTATCACTCTCCACATTACAACCTCTTACATCATGGCATGGCTGGAGTAATAATGAGTCACTAATGCACATAGTATCTCCCATTTGGTGTCACGGTGGGCATCTCCTGCCCAGTCCCTCAGATACAGAAGAGCTATAGTGGCTATTCATCTTGTTTACCGAGAAGACAGCTGTCTTGGGTACCCTCATGATTCCATTCACAGTGGTGGCAGTGAGTAGAAATACTTACTGGATGCTGTGCGCTTCACACATGACACTGAGTCAGGTTTCTTAGGTTGGCTATTTAATGTTCTCACTTTTCCAGTGATCCCGTTAGAAGTTGCAGGAGGCTTCTTGCCTTTAAACTGTTTAAAAACAAAAGCAGAAATGGGCCTCAGCTACTCCTGTGCTACTGGCATGGCAGTTATCCACTCATCAAGGGCAAATCTTGACAAAAAGCTGCCTGCTCAGAGAGCCTTAATAGATTGCATTGATCCAGCTAGAGACAAAGCATTCTCCAGAGACTTGGTCTCTGAGAGCAGCCTGCTTAGCTAGATCCCAGAAGGGAAACCAACAGGAATCACGGAATAACTAGGGGATGAACACCCCATTTCTAGTGGCACCATGGTTTCCAAATTATTTGAACATCAAGCATTTACTATACTAATATAGCCACTGTGAGGCAGAATAGTTGTTCCTTATAATAATTTCATATAGTAAATATTCCTGAAACACAGTTTTTTCAATACTGATTGCCCTCATTGATTGCTCAACAAGGTCTGCCACAGAAAAATTCAACACTTTCTTATTTATTATATAACCTTGTGGTACATGTGTTTTTGTTTCAAAATGATTCAGTTGTTACACATTTTTAAATGTTAAGAGTTAACACATTATTTTCTATTCTACAACTGCAAGCTTCTAAAAATTTTTCTTATTAAAAAAAATGAAACCAAGGATGAGAAACATTGTGCTGCCTACTCCTCACATTTCCACCTAGAATATGTTAGCCAAACACATCTGTGCCCTGGCATCTTCACCATCTCCTTCAAAAACCTTTAAAGGACTGAAAAGAAAGTGGAATGAGAAGCCTGATGCAGCAGACCAAGGTCAGGAAAAAAATAACCAGCAGTTATTTGAATATGGTGCATATAATTTAGTATTTGTATATATATATTCATATTATACATACATAATATATAGCTTAATCATTCCAGATATGTGAATTTGCTGTCACAACCGAGTCATATTTCTTTTTCTTTTTAATTTTGAAGCCACTACTGTATGCCAAGGACATAGAAGGAAAGTACATACGTGTTCAGATTAAGCACAGAAGGCCGCATCTATCTGCTTGGTACTACCTATAATCTGTAAATCATCATGAGCTCATGAGGAAAACCTTGTCCATGTATCACTTGGCAAAACTGTTTTATTGGCAGCAGTCTGGTGACTGACCCACAAGCACTTCAGTGCTCAGACTGACTGAAATAGCCCAACGTCCTTAACATAACAATCAGATAAACAGAACAGCCAAAAAAATAAAAAGTGTTATCAAGTATTAAATAGTACAGTACCTGCGAGACAGATCCCCTCCCCACAGCAGAGGTATTAGTGACAGACTGAGCAGAAGACAGATTGGATGAGACAGGGTGTTTGTAATGGTTAGAGGAGAGTTTGTCAGTAGATAACCTATTGGTTTTCCTGTCAGCTGGCGGATAGCGCGCAAAGATTTTTGGAGACGGCAAGTTATCGTACAGGCCTGCGTTATCATAAAGCATTTCTTCTCCCATGTTCCTGCTACGAGAAGAAGGAAAGCCATCTTCTGGTTCCCACTGCAATACACACACTTTGGCAGTTAGTAAACAATACATCATGCAGAACCTGAGTGAAATTAAAACATTAGTAAGATTTTTGACCATAGCAAGCCCTCCACATTTAGCAAGCCTATGCTCACTGCTTACTCTTGAAGCTAACTACACAGAAAGGTGGGGGAAGGCACAGAATGGAAAGGAAGCATTGCATTACATGGCTCACAGCCTTTGCATTTTCCATTGCATGAGCAAGCTGATGCTATCCTATTACCCTTTCCGCTCACAGACTGTATCGTCAGTTGTTAGCTCAGCACTGAGGGGGCACAAGGAGAATGTGTTAACAGGGGGACCCTCATGGGCTGCACAGATGAATCTGTGGGATTACATCTGGTACATGAGTTGTTAAAAGCAATAATGCCTAACTGCTAGCACATGCCAAAACGGGCTTTTTCTCCTTTTTCTTTTTTTTTTTTTTTTTTTTTCCCTTCTTCAGGCTATATGTATTTGCAGTGAATACCAGCTGCTGATATGCTAGTATTACATTTTATTTGCTGGAAGATTATCATTCTGAGCTAACTATCTAAAATAATAACTACAGGCCATTTCCTTTTTTTTTTTTTTTTTTCTTCAGAAAAATGAAAAACGGAAAGCTCAACAACAATACTCCAGTGATTCATTCAATTAATCTTAAAAGAAATCATGGGCCTGGTTGCCAAATATCCTTCCTTAATCCATTCTGGCTGTGGCAGTATGCTACTCACACAAAGGCTTGAGCACATCCAAGAACTACACACACAGACTTCTCGCCCCACATGCTGTTGCTTGCAGTTCCTAAAAGGTTTTTTTTTCTACCATCTTTCTGACATTACGAAGAAATGATGGAGGACTTTGCTTGCAGTTCACTTGGAAACAATAATTTTTTCTGATCTCAGCCTTAGAGGGAGCATTTACGAAACAGCCCAAATTAAAGGCTGCCATGAGCTGTATCTGCCCTGTAAATTGTGAGGATCACATATCACTATGGGTAAATTATGCATTAGAACCTATTTCACAGCTGACTGTGATCAGCTCTGTGTATTATGTGGATGGAATCAACCCCTATGACTCTCCTTTGGGATGTGCAATACCTGCTCTCATGGGGAACACATCCCCAGGGACAGAAAAATGTTCTGTATGTTTTTTAACAGACACCAAAATGCACCTGGTGTAACTGAGTACTTAGTTTTGCCAGCTTTGGTGTGATCTGAAAAATATCCCCGTGAGTCAGTTTTATATTCAAGGACTTGGCAGCAAATCATCAACAGGCAACTGCTTTCTAAATGCATGTTGGCTCATGTACAGGTTAATGTAAGCAATATGTCCCACACCCCTAATACTCTATAGGTGTGAGGGAAGTTTGCAGTCCCCAGTATGAAAAATAGGACTTCATTTGGAATCTGCCCAGTGGGCCTTTTTAGATAATATAATTTTCAGATGTCCATGCATTCAACACATGCAAACCATTTGTGCTGTGTAAATTCAATTCTTACCGATCCATTTATGCAGGGAACATCATCGTAATGAAGTGCCATTCCACTCGGACATGCATAGCCATTGGCAGTGCTTCCCCGGTACGGATTTGTGGATATAACTCGCCTGTTCATAAAACTGAATAAAACAAAATAAAAAATAATAAAAAACAGTACTTGAACCCAAGTCTAAATGATGATTCTGTGGTACATTCCCTGTGTCAGATTCTGTAACCTGGAAGCACATATATTCTCATCTTCTGCAGGAATGCTGTGGACAGCTTTCCTTCTTTTGCTACTCATATGTTGCTGCTAGCAGCCAATACTACACCATGTGTTTCCATACTGTACTCTGAGAGCAAGGATAAGACTGTGTGAAAACCAGGATGGCAACAGCTGTAACCAATCGTTGGCACGTTTACATGGGAACCTGCTGATCTATGTTATAAACCAACTTGCCAGTGTCCCATAAACATTCCCTTGCTGTCTGCATGCACGAGAAGCAGGTGTTTCTGAGTGCACACATGGTCAGGGGCAAACAAACTCAGAATCTGGAGGAGCAATAATCAAGCAAAAACTGAATAATCTAGCAAAAAACTGAAAAACAGAAAAAGGTGGAACTCTGATGAAACGTAAGTCAGCCCATCCACGAAAATTTGCTAATTATTCTTCCCATATTCTGGGGATTTTTCATGTCCATGTCAGAACTTTTGGCTGTGTGGACTTTGTACAATGGCAGTGTGCTTCCTAGCTCTCCACCTGGGCAACTGTGCATACAAACATTCTGTTCTCATTACCACTGCATTTCACACAGTGGAGAAGAGCCCTCTAAAAGCTTCAAGAGGGACAAATAATTTTGCTTTTGTTTGCTCTCCTCAGAACCAATACTGTTGCTTCTTTTACAGGAATTCTGAAGAACACATGCATAGTATCACAGACTACAGTGGGATCTGTGTTCAAAGCAAAGATCTAAAAATGCAGAAACTGGAAGATTTAAGCCCAAAGGCTGTAACAACCTCAAAGGTTAGTTTTCTTTCCTAGCAAGCTCTGAAACTAACTGAGGTATAGAGTGAGATTCCAAATAATTCCTATAGATTCAGGTATAAGTGAAAGGGAACACAAAGCTTTCCATCTCAAACAATGGGACTATTCAGGCTCTGCGCTGATATTCATAAAATATGACAAAGCCCTGCTAAAGCTGAGAGGGTCTTCTGTAGTGCTGGCCAGAGCTCAGGAATTCTGTGGTTTTAACATTTGCTTTCTTTTGGCTTTGAAATAACATCTAAACCATTGAAATAGGTATTCTGAGGGAGACGGATGTGATCCAGCAATGGCTCACCTGAGCCTCAGGAGACCCAGGCTTGCAGGAGGAATGAACTTGCTCAGTTGAGTGTGAGCCTTTTAGATCTGCCTCAGCCCCAGTAAAATGCACAGGCAGGGCATAAATGGCATAATCACTAGCCAGAAGCTTTTCTTTTTTAAAAGAAACAAACAATAAAAAGCCTACCATAAATGCCAGGATAAAAATTGTTTTATCTCATACTTCATTAGACGTTATTAAAGGGATGCATTTATCAACTGCTTCTCTTAATGAAGAACATTACTCAATTGTTTCTGGTTAGCCTGAAGGACTACATTCGGAGCTCTTATTGTGTTTCTGCTTATTTAAATAGATTCATTGAAAGCAATGCGTATTATACACATTTGAAAACTGGGATATTCATTAACAAGATCTGATGCACCTGCCATAACTGTTTCCATCAGCAAAGAAAGCTGAAGTTTATCTAAGTATCAGTAAACACTTCATGAACATTATTACACTAAGCCTCATTAAACTAGTTTACAGATGCATCCACATAAGTTAATTGCATTCTGAAACTGCTAAATGGGAAAGCCAATGGAGAAAACTGCTTGGAAACAATTTTCATTCAGCCTTTCCTAGAAGCCTAATGATTCACATACAGAAAATTGATGAGGTAATTAATGAAGAACCAATGATTTGGCAGAGCATCAATCTCAGGAAAAGTCTGAAGTGACTGAATGTTCACCAAACCATAATGACAACCACAGTTAAATTGGAATACGAATATTCATTCTAAAAAGGGTGGCAATAATATTTTAGTATCATTGTCATTTTCCCTCTTTTTCTAGGAATAATTGAACATCAGCACATGGCTACTCTAGTTGCTTTCTGACAAGTTCATACAGACTTTTAGAGACACCCAATGAACTTTAACTAATTTTTAATAGGGGATTTTGCTATTTTGCAAGTTGTTTGACATTCCTTTCTAACATGTGGTCTAGTTGCATGTTTTTTCACTTGGCTCCAATTAATATCACATTTGTTCAGAAAAGGAAAGCCAAGCAGTATTTGGGGGTGAAAGGTTTCCATTCTGTTTCTTTCTTAAATGTGGTTATTGTGAGATGCTGACTGAAGCAAAAACACATGTCAACACAGGATAAACTTTTTGAACCCTATTAACTTCAAAACAAATATTAACATAAGTCTATAAGCACAGTGCATTTTGATTCTATCAAAACTATCTGGTTTTCACAGAACTGGGATTGTGGTAACACGGAGTCACTTTGATTTCCATCTAAAGACATTCAAGATAGATCCTGAATGAAGCTAAGCATTTTCTCTTGCTGTAGCTTTCTTAACACATAGTAAGTGCAAGTGTTTTCTTTAGGAAAACTCTGAAGCTTTTTCTTTATCTTTTTTTGGTGTTATTGATCTTTTATGATAGGCAGATGAAGTGTGATTCTCTAAAGTACTGTCACACAAATTTCACATTTGTTGAATGCCTAGAGAGTCTCATTTGGCTGAGATGAGGGATGACACCTCTCCAAACTGTCTTGTCAGGCCACTTGCCTTCTGACCCCAGCAAACCACAGCGTACATCTGCAGAGGAGATCTACTGCGGCCCAGTCATTCCCTCACTCCTGCTTCTAAACAGTCTCATCAATCCCAGGAAAAATGAGAGTCTCTTCCCACTGGAGACTGCTTTAGTGACAAAGTTAATTTGCACATGTAAATTGCTGTACTTACAAAGTATGCGCTATTTTTCTTAACACAGGATCAGTGATGAAGGACCAATTTGCATTTTAAAAAGAATTTCTGTGCTGCACCCAAGAGTGCTTCCCAATTTCCACCTTCACAATTACAAATTATAAATAAATTGAACCGGCTTGACGTAATTCTTAATTAATCAAAAAAGGACATGAGAAGGAAACACTGAGAAGGTGACTCACAGTTAAATTTGATGCACACTTCTAGTGGTTCTGTTAAGACACAAATATTATATAGTGAATAAGTAAATGATTGCAAACTATGTACCCATGTATTTATTTACTTTTCAGCATAATTGTCTTTTTCCAGGGTTAATTTTAAGGATTCAAGCAAAATATAGTGGTTAATAAAAAGACTCACTTAAAAATGAGTCAAGACATGAGTAAAGTTGGCTGGTGTCTGCATTTAACAGAGCTTTAGCAAGATGCCAACAAGATAATCTTAAACACATCTACCATACTGCAATGCTGAGACACTTCAGGACTTCAAGATCTGGCAAAGAGGCTGAGGGGATTTGATAAGCTCTCTTGGCATCAGACTTAATGTGCAGATATAAATTCTCATAGTACTGAAAACAACCGGGTAGCCAAATGCCTCTCACCAGAAGGTCTGTTTTGCAGCCTGGATGACACTTGCTGTCATTTCCACATCGATGTAGTCATAGTGCAGAGCTCCGGGGTCTGTCGAAGATCCCGTTTCTGCAAGCAACATCCCTATCCATCTGCCCATGTCTTCAGAGGAAGATGCCTGTAAGGAGAATGCAAAACCCTACGTCAAGTCTTTGGTCCACCACCAAAGTGAGGTAGTCACAGCAGTGTTTCAAAATACAGCATTCTTCCTGGCTGACCATATTATACAAGAGGCTCTGGTTTCTTCCTGCTGAAGTCAGAAATTCCAGGATTTCTCATTAAATCTGTTTTGATAGAAGGACTGCATTTTAAGTAAGCCGTGTGCTCATCAGCTATGATGTAATACAAAGTGGGCCATCTCCGCAAAAGAAATAAAAATTATCATTTAAGACTAGTGGATTTAGATTCAAGTCATGTTTATTTTAGACTTCAGAAAATTGAATGCTGGAACTGAATTATTTTCCTAGACAGATTTTAGTACGGATAAATCCTGAGAATTAAACATTATTGCCAAGTAGAAATGAGTGGAAAAGAAACCTGAACTAGTAGAAGAAACTTCATTTGTGTTTTTTGAAAGATTCAATTTGCATATGTCTACCTGACGGTGTTTATTTTTTAAGTGGCAGAAGTACAAATACTTTAAAACTCATTTTTAAAAATTCAAATCTGAACAGTATCAAAATAAATAAGTGAAAACAAGGAAGGAAAAAAGAAAAGTGTGTGATTTCTAAATTTCTCACTACTTAAATATTTTATGGTCTTTCTCAGATTCTTGACATGCTTTCTTTCAAACTCTGAACTGCTCACATGCAATAGGACTTTCAAGGATAGGGGATTACCATGACCTCCACTATACCTGGCTTTAAGTGGCTTTCCTCTTTCAAAATATAACAGACAAATATCTCCTGCCAAATCCTGAACCACTTTTCAAAATCCAATTTTAACAAGATCTGAAAACAAGATCTGAAAACAAGATCTGACATAATTTTTTGAAGTTTCATTTTGACTTTTCAGTTATAACTTGCTCCTGAATTTGTTGCAGAGAGGCACAGTCACCAAAGGCAATTTTCTAGATCAGAAGGGTTTTCCACACCAGTTTGCCAGTTATCTTCAGTCAAATTCTGCTCCATGAAATGAGATCCCATCAGAGCCTGGATCCTTCCACAGGTTAGACTGGCATCTGTCCAGGCTGCAAGGACCACAGCTCTGTGCTTTTCTCTCTTCCCACACCTACAGGCACACAGTTACTGTGCAGCTAACATAGGGGTGTAAAAAGAGACTCAGTAGGTTACTGGCACAATGTCTTTCTTAATGAAAGACACGAATTCAGACTGAGCTAAAGTGGCTAACATATACAGCAAAAAAATGAGAGCTAAGAACTCTAGAGTTCCCATCAACAGTGATTCATTATTTAACTAGAACTAAGTTATTTACCCAAAAGGACCATATCTCTGATAAAGAAGCATGCCTAGAAAGGAGAACAGACAATTTAGCACCAGGTCAAAGGAAGGTCAATGCAGGGAAAAGCTTCTTACAGACATTTCTGAAGTGCGTTATGTGACTTGTTCCTAAATCTTATTTTTTCTTTTGCCTACAACTCCTATCTTCCTTTCTCCTTCCAGTATTTATTACCCATCTCTACAATAACATTAGTCCACAGATTTTTGGAAATGTCACGTTGTTTGACAGTGCTTCCCTAATTTAGTTTGTGGTTGTCTCTACAAGTCAGAGCCATCAGATCCACAGCACCTCAAGCACAGCAACCTCCTGCCCATTTCGAAGCAGCCGGAAGGTCAGGGGATGCTTTGAATCCAGTCCTGGGATGACTTCACATCCACGGAGAGGGATAGAAACAATATGTGTCTTCAGATCTGTCCTGTCCTTGTGGAAAATGAGTTTATTGTCTTTCACTCGGCACCAGCGCTCACGCCAACGGTTATTTGAGAGCACATTGAGATATCCTGCAATGAAATGAAACGTGAGATCCTTTACTTTTAAGTTTTTTTGAAAAACAAAAGAAAAAGGTCCACTTATTTTCAAAATAATGTTATCACTTAAACAAATTATTTCTCTTGTAATAGGAAGACCAGATGGATTTTAAGAAGACCAGAAAATGATTCTGCCCCACTTCTTCAATGCAAAATTTCACTGTGCCAGTAACTTAGCAAAAAATCATGTAAAGATGTGATCCTGCTCACCTGAAAGTGGCTTTTTGTATTAGTCACTGCAATGGCTGGATAAGCTGGAGCTTACCAATGACCATGACTTCAGTTAAATGGGAGATGAAGGGTGTTAACAAGCTAAATACACAGCTGATGTGCTCATACAGATCTTCACAGAAGACCCACCTGCTCAGTTTATAATTGCTGTATAACCATGACTGCCCAAATCTTCTGGGAAAATCACAGCTCCTGTTATGTAATTAAGTGATGACTTAACGTTCACAGTATCCTACAAACCTTCTAAGATTCCTCCACTCAATGTCTGCTTTGCCAATAGGAACAGATTAGCACTGTTAGGTTTACACACTGATGCTACCTTTTCTGATTTCATTTAGAAAGAAGAATGCAACACACTTAGATAAGAATTTAATGGGTCAATATTCACATTGACAGAAATAAACTAATACTCACTTAAAACTAGAGAGTTTAATGAATATGAAGTTAGCTAGTTTAGCATATCTTTAAGACGTGTTTGTTTTTTTCCTTCTTTTTCCCCAACAATATATCACAAAATCACAGAACAAAATCACCGTATCACAAAGGTTTGAAAAGATTTATAAGATCACCTAGTCCAACTATCCACCTGCCACCAATGTTGCCCACTAAATCATGTCCTTACAACAAATCAAAATTCCATGAATATATACCATTTTAAACAAACCCTGCTTTCCTTGTCATTCTGAATGCCAGATGTAGGCACTATCTAGGCATATAAAGCCATTAAATAGCAGTTATTTCTTCTCATTCCCATAGCAATAATCATTCCAGACATCAAAATCAAGACAATGAATGTCCAATTTTTTCTGTCCTGGTTCATATGTAAACTGAAAAAAAATATCAACCATGTTTTACTTTTGCTTCCTCACTACAGGTACATCAATTCAGTATGCTGCTGTTTCCAAACACTCCATAGAAATGATACTTTGCACAGACCAGGATCTATGTAAAAATTTTTTCCTCTATCTCAGGTCTGATTTTCATTTAAGCACTTAATCATGTTGGATAGCTATCTCTTTGGTTTTCATTAGAACTATGACTTATCATTATTTTTTCTGGACTTCCTTTCCAATATCACAATTCCAATGTCAAAGCTTGATCCAACAGGATATAGCAGATCAGAATTGCGCAGAACTTGGAAGATGCTGTAAAAAAGGAGGATGTACTCAGTTCTGTGATTTTGGCTCCTTGTGATGATCATCCTCTCCAACTCTCCTCCCTCCTCCTCTAACAAAAAAACCTGTATAGCTGTGTATTATAATAGAATCACTAGAAATGGAAAACCCTTCATGTGCAAGCCAGCTGGCTAGTTTTGAAGAGTCTTTTTTTCAGACATTACTTTTCCCCATCCTCTGTTCCTTACGCAGCTCTCAGAAAAGTTCTTCTAACTCTTCATATTTTGCTTAAATAAGCAGTTCTCCGTATTCTTCCTCCACAACAGTCTTACTTAAATCTTCAAGATTTAATGTGACCAAAATGCCTTGAATGTTGTTCCAGCTGGGGCATTAGCACTTCAACTTAGTTCATGTGGCCAAAGACCAGTGATGCTGAGAGAAGAGCCTTGCTATGACTCTAAGTGCAGGTGGGTTTCTGTTTCTGTTTCCACTCTAGCTGGGTGTCCCCTGCAGTGTGATTGGGCTCTTCCTTTGTTCATGTAAGGCAGAACATTCTAAAGTGTAAAAGTCTTCAACTACAGAGCAACCTCCCAGAGGGCTCTGCACTCAGACAAATTTCTGGTGGTGAGAAACTCTGCAAAGACTTTCTGCCATGACTAAAGCCTAGACACTTAAATTTTTCTATAAAATTCGCAAGTGGTGTAGCCAAATGCAGACAATAGTAATGGCTATACTCATGCCCATATCTGAAATAATGGTAGAAGCACTTGGAATTAGATTGTACAGCTGTGGTTAACATCTCACATAATATGGAATAATCAACAGACTATGAGACCCAGGAAGTTAGAAGTTTTATGAAAGCCAGATGGTTTGGACAATGCATCTGGCTGGACACAGCTTTTCCCAGCTGTTCCTTTACTTGACAAATCATATCTTTACTTAGTTGATATACAGACATATGCACACACTTATTTAATCAAAGATTTCTTATGGGAATTATTCCCAAAGTGGCCTTGAGAGCCATCTGCAATCTATGAAGTTCTCACTGGTGGTCCATGAATCTTCTTTCACACTGGGCAAGTATCTACTATACTTCATGCAGGAAGGATTTCTGCCAGCTGCTGCCTAATCACAGATTTCTAGGTTTCCCAAGATTTCCTAATCAATTAAAGGGGAAAAGTCCAAGCCAAATTCAAAACTGTGCAAGTGCTTCACAGTTCTCGTGGTAGGGCTTTTTGGAGTTTTTGTTATTTTTTTTTAAAGATTGGAAGAAGGATGGGAACAAATCTGTTCACATAAGTAGCTATTGCTTAATACTGGAGCACCAAAAGGCAAAGAGGAGAATGTGAGCGCATTGCATTGTTCAAAAATACAGAGCTGTGAGGACACTGGCTAAATGCATTACAAAAGTCCTAAATAGCAGGCAAATATTAACAGCTCAGATGCAAAACTGAGCTATTTGCATTTTCTATATGTCTTTTCTTATGTACTTTCATGGTGTTGTCAAGCACTACAGCTGTCATTAACACTGATCAACACTAGCAATTAAAATAGCTTTCTAGAAATTTGCCCAATAGGCAGCATTTTAGGAACCAACAATTAAAGTCAAATAACTTCATCTGAGACCATGTGGCTGCTGTCATCATTGCCATTGCATATAAACTCATCAAAAATACTTGATTGCTTACCAGGAAGCTTTTTCTACAATGAAGTGTAAATTTATTTTATAATCCAACCTATTTTATACCTATTGGTTTGAAAACAGCTCATTTCCTTCAAAGCCTGTGCTACTCTTTTATTTAAAAAGTCAAACTATTCTAGACTCTTTGATAAGCTCTTGATTACTCTAGTCTTCCAACCTGAGTGCACCCTTCTGATGCAGCGGTAAAAATTACAGCAGTAAAAGCAAATTCATGGGACTTTCTAGGCTAGAATGTTAAAAATTTTTAGTCACAAGCTGCCTTAAAGACCCAAGAAGAAAAACAACTGACCACATGTTGGAACATCTTCTTCAGCTGATGAGGTCTGTTCATCTGTTGATGGCTTTTTCTTTCCTAAACCAATGATCTTCGTTATCTTTTTCCCTGTTACTTTAGTCACAGTGCCCTTGGCTTCTGTTTTTGAACTTTTTTTCCTCTTCACTATTAAAAAAGCAAAAGTTTGCATTTTAGTGTGTTTAAATTATGTAGTCAACAAAGAAAATCTGAATAAAAAAAGTAGCTTTGGCAAACAATGTAAAGTAAACATTTGTTCAGTTGCAGTCTGCCATGAGATAAACATTATATGTCCTCCTGAATACGATGCCCATAAATCACCTTTTTACTATAAAAATCATGGCATTCGGAAGGGTAAGAAAAACAAAAATCAAACTTTTAATTTAATTTCATCTAATCCAGCTTGAAGTCTCTTTCCAAAGCAGTCACTGTGTAAATTTATCAATATGAACAAACTATTCTGCACCTATACATGAGAATAAAAATTCAGCCAGATGATCAGACACCATTCTAAACACTTATCTAATAAAAGGCAACAAATAATTAACAAAGACATAATATGCTTGCCCAGCAAAAATGGCTCTGTTGTTAAGGAATCTAATCAAAATAGGCCTTTCAGAAAGACAAGACTTATAAATTAGCGATTAACAAGTAAATTAGTGCGATCAGTATAAGCACTCAATGATTAAAAGCTGGCACTTTTTATGATCGTGATTGCTGATCACAAAAAATACAAAGCTTGCTATAAGGAGAGATCTTGCTAACCTCCAGTTTGTGCACTGAGCCATGAAAGTAACAGGGCAAAGACTGTGGATATCACTTTTAAAACTGCGTATCTGACTAAAATTCTAACTAGCAGAAAAATAAGAAAAAAATGTTCTAAAACAAAATTAAAAAAAAAAGGAAAAGGCAATTTATTTGCAAAATACAACCAAAATAATGAAAGAATCTTTGTTTCAGAAATGACATTCAGTGGATTTGGATTCCACCAACAGAGCAAAAGTCAATCTGTTAACTGACAGGGTAGCAAATCTACCCATGTAATTACCCTGATTTATGATTCAGAAGGAAATTACATGTAGGATAGTTACTGATGGAGCTGCTTTAAGTTTACCCCTCGCATCCTTAGTTCCATTTCCTACTTCCCCAAACAGAAAGTTTAATGGTTATGGGCTTGTGTAAACAAGGAGAAAAAGAACAAAATGTTCACATGAAAAATTATCTGAAATGATCTGAAATGGGAAGAGGAATACATGGAAAACAGAGTAGCAGTTTGAGACTCACAAGGGCATAATTTATCATGTTTAGCTTAATTGCTAGCAAACATGGAAAATGATTTAGTAATTGTATCTGTGGCCAAGATCGTATAAATCTTACACCTGCTAAATGCAGCGCTGAGGGCAAAAAAGTGGGTTTTGGGTGTGGATGTTTTTTTTTCCAGTAAACACCAATGCAGATGTTCTGGCTACCTTGCAGCACATGCCCCATCAGAATGCTTCCTGCAGGGCACCTGAGCCACTGGTCACTCTGGGATGTCTTGGACAACACCTGGATGAACTCTGTGTATGACAGAGCTGATCACTGGGCTGCAGAGATTAAAACCTGAGCAGTGGGCTTTCTGAAAGCTTAGCAGTTATGCTGTGAAACATAAGCATGTACTGCAGCTTCTGGAAACCACAATAACTGACACTGTTCCATTCTACTGGGTATGTCAGAGATCTGGATGGTGAGGAAACGCTGGAAAAATGACACAGGAAGAAGACAGTGGGAATGAACGAAAAGGCGAGACAGGGCTGGCAGCTGGCACCAAAGCCAGTATCGACACACGGTGTTTCCTGCAGCTCACATTACACTTCAGCTTCACAGCTGCAGAAAAACGTCAATTTTGTGCCATCTAGATGATACCACTGCTACACAGCCTGTTAAGGAAATCACATAATTTCCTTTCTTTTGGGGAGAAAACAAAGGGCGTGGAGGTAAGAGCACAGACGTTGAGTTTTTTAGATACAACTCAGGGAAAATGCCATCAGCTTGAGTTGTGCATCTGACAACACAGATTACAAGATATGCATGGCTCCAAAGCAGCACACTTAAAATTACATGAATATATACACACAAACCCACTGATATAACATGATTATGTACATTGCAGTATATTAATATATACAATCATACATAATACTTATTTTTTTGTGTGCAGACACATACACGTATAAACTGAGATATATATTCATATATACATATTATCCTTCCAATATGCAGAGATGTAGGGATTTTTTTACTTGAAGTCTATACATCCACTGCTTATATTCCTGCTGTACAGTTAGAGTTACCATAAGCAACTGTTAGTTGCCTATAGTGGTCGCTCTTGTCCTTAAAAAACTGTACCTCTGAATAGACAAAAAGTCAAATCAAAATTTCTATATTCTGTCTCTTTATACTAATACTGATTTTTCCCACTGAGTAAAAATTCAAAAGCATTACTGACTATTAAAAAAAAAAAAAGAAGGTAGATCTATTTTACTTCCTCTCTCTTCATATTTGCACGTATTCTTTGCAGTAAGCATCTCTGCATTTGAGACATACCTTGTTCTTTTCCATTGCACACTGTGGTGATGCCATTTTCCACAGCACCCTCCCCATCTGAACTTGGTCTCTCAGATGACAACTTCTGCAGGAACAAAGATATCAGCTGCCCTGCCACATCACATTCTCACCTTCATCACATTAAGTCTCATCAGTCAATTTAAATTAAGCTTGCTATGAATAAAGCACTTTTCAAGTATGGATCCACTTCGAAGGTAAACAGAAGGTAGTAGAATATTCAGGTTTAAATAACTTTTTATAGTTCCACATAGAATAGCACAGAAATCACAAGTCTACATCAAAAGACTTTCCTTCTAAGTGAAAAAATCATTGCACATTATGTTCTAAATGCATTACAAGATTGCACAGTGTCTCTGTGTATTAACCTGCTAAGCAATGAATAATCTACTAAACAATGAATGTAGATAAGACAAACTTTAAAATGATTTTTTTTTTTAAGAATTTCTTCACACATGCATTTACAATACCAACCTGTCCAGAACACCACTGTCAGAACACAGTGCATTCCTATCTGGTGCTTAAATATTTTCAGTATTTGCAAAATAGGAGCATTTGAAATAGATTTTTAGCACCAGTTATCCTATAATTGCTGTGTATGGGATACAGGATGAGGTGGAATAAAGATTATGCTGGCACCACATTCTTCATGAGTGGTGGAGACATGAAGATGTACAGAATACTACAAGAAGAAACTATGGAAAAGTTGTTTTAAAGTGAGCATTTTAGAATACAACTGTTTATTGATATTTCCATTTCATTTGTTAATGATGTGCTGGTGCTTGCAAGCATGCAAACACAGCTGCTTTGGGCTTGTGCATAGAAAACACCTGAACTATTGTGGAAGATATTTTGCTCTTAATTTCCTGGGTACAGTGCAACAATAATGAGTGCAGTGTGATGCCACCAGAAGGACAGACCGTGCCCTTGGAAATTAGTGATAAAACCTTTGTGGTCTAAAGAACATCCTGTCTACCATGCAGTGCCCAGCAGCGCCTCAATAATAGTTCTGAGAAAGTTAGCATTGATCACTTTGGTAAACTTACCTTTTCCAGCTCTGTCTTGTGTACTGGAGAACTAGACAATGGCCCGTCAGAGTCCACAGTGCCCGTACAGTTGTTGCACACATCTTTTATTACCTTAGGAGCAAAGGCAAAACCTATTAATTGCTTACCAAATACAAATTTGAGAAATTATGTATGAATGCGAAGGGGAAATGGAAAGGAGATTCACACAAACGCTTAGCAGGCTGGCAGGTTAGAAAAGTAGTGGTGTGAATCTTTCTGTCCACAGCAGTGTGTCAGGCAGGCTGCCACCACGAAGCTCTCATACTGCTTTTCTGAGCCATGTCATGTGTGACCTGCAGGAGACATGGTGTCTAGAGGTGGAAGGTGTCAGTTTCTAGACAAGCTAAGCTCTGAGGCCCTCCTGAGTAAAGAAACCAAAGCGCTGCTGATTTCTGTGTACTACTTCTGCAATATGAACTTTGCTGACACCACCGAATTACCTACATTATTATGCCAAAAAAGTGGGATTAGATCCGAGGAAGTGACAATTGATCTACAGTTAATACTGTGCAGAGGTATTTCATGACATTTTCATTTTATACTTGCATATTGACATAAAGGTATAGGTCAAAGTAATTGTAAACGACTTCTCAAAAATGGTAATGACATTAAGTCTATTTTTAGAACGTTAAAGAAAAATCTCACTGAAATCACTGAGATCTCAACAGAAAGTGAAGTTCAAAACCTGAAACTATTTAAATGTAGACGTAAGTGATGACAGTGAAAATCTGATGATTTTCTATGATGTTAACTTTTTTTTTCTAGTGAGGTTCCTACCTGGTGATTATCAGCATGAAACTGCATGTGATGATGAGAACAGATCTCGACTCTCCCATGCAGATTCATGCCAATGGAAACTGATTACACTACTTTTGTCACACGCTACTGCCATCTTACTTGCTTTCTGACTGCAGGAAATACAAGCCTAAATTCTACATGAGCAGTCAGAAAAGCTGAGCTAGAGAAAGCCGCAATATTCACTAGTATCCTTAAAACTTTTCAGCCATACATGAAATGAAAACTTCAAGTAGATATTTGGATAGACTAATAAGATAACAGCAGACAGAAAACAAAATCAGAATACAATCTTTCAAAAAAGGAGAGTTTTTCAGCATTCAACACATCTAATTAGTATTTAGCACATCTAATCATTTATAAAAAGCAGATCCTGCCTGACTAATCTGATCTTTTCTATGTCATGACGACCTATTGAGTGGAAGAGGAAACAGCAATGGATGTTGTTTACTTGGATTTTAGCAAAGCATTTGACCCTGTTTCCCACAGTCAGCCTTTTCCTGGAGGAACTGGCTGCTCATGGCTTGGATGGATATACTGTCTTCTGGGTAAAAAACTGGCAGGGCCCCAAGGGTTACTGAGATTGGAGTTAAATCTAATTGGTGACCGCTCACCAATTAGGTTCCCTAGGGCTTAGCATTGAGACCAGTTTTGAGTTTACCTTCATTAAATTTGCAAATGACACCAAGTTGGGCAGAAGAGTTGATCTATTTTAGTGTTGGAAGGCTCTGTGAAGGATATGAATGTGAGGTGATGGATGGACACGACAATCTTAAGGGTCTTTTCAAAACTAAATGATTCTATGACTCTATTCTGTACACACCAGTGATCATCCACTACTGGATTACAGCGACAGCCACATGAGGACAGCAGAGCCTGACTTGATAAAGAAGGAAGACATCCTACCCTGTTGAAAGCTTTCCTGCTAGACATGCAGATTTTCCCCTTTCAATGTACATGGCTGTGTTTACACACCCTGCTCTCTCTTTTTCCCCGTTTACAGCAAGTCTGTGTAGGAGAGAGTATGACTTGGTCTGAGAACTACCAGGTGCAGAAATAATAGCAATTATCCAACTGTCAAAATCCAGATTTCCTTAAATGGGGAGCAGGATAATAACAGCCTCTTCCCAGTTCTGAACTGAACAATTTTGATGTAGAAACCATTAAATAGCTGAAGACAACATCAAACACAGTTTAAAGTTATTTTCACAGCACTGAAGTTCCCTGTAAGGGTGAACTAAGCAAAGCAAATGTTTATGGTCTTACAGAGACCTTAATGAAACAATTCATGAGCACTTCGTAAATTAAAGGCACTATACGCCATAAAGACAGGAAGAGAACCAAATCTATATTACATATGGAGAGCTCAGAAATGAAAGAAAGATTAAATCACTCACTCAATGTTACTTAACAAATCTAAGCACAGGAGGGAAATGAACCTACATTTTTAGTTCTAAGTATCTTAAAATGTTTCGGTATCCTTTCATGACTGTCTGAACTTCTCTGTGTTTTTTTCTCAGAAACATAAGCACAGTATTATCAAATTCATGGCACTGGGTGTGCTTTCTAATGGAAAATGTAGATATGCCTACCGCAAAACTTTTGCATCTCAGAGTTAAACTTCTCCCTAGGTCTCTACACACACATTAGAATTTGTTTCTGTGTATTACTTTCCTTTCAATTACTGGTCTTCAGTTAGAGAAAACACAATTTCTGGGAACATTCATTTCTGTCTTCTGCATGACCCTGATTCAATGGCTCATGTTTTCAGCATCTGCTGACACCACACAGTCAGTTAATTCTGGCAAAAGCAGATATTAATGGGAGTTACAGACAGAACAGAGGGAAATGATTTGGCAGTGCTTACTGAATAATATGTGCAAAGTCATGCACTCAAGTAAATACGGTTCTTATCATACCTCACATATTTAAGGAGACGCTAAAGTGTTTAATTGGGTTGTAATTAAATTTTGATTGAAAAAATAGCATACTGCCAAATAGAAGTTCATGTCAAGATCTGAAGAAAATGGATTTTCAAGGATTCCACACTTCATCTAGCCTCAAGGGGTTTGTTAGCAAATGCTTCCTCATCATCTTCTATGTGCAATATAATTGTGTTTGATGCACAGCATAGAATTCATACTTTCAGAGCTCACCAGGATGAAATGCCTTTAATATATAATGGTTGCCTGGATGCACTCTCTATAATTACGTTTGCAGACAGCTGCCATTACAAATGAGGTTTTCACATGCTTATAGCTTTAACTCAAAATTTTAAGGATAAAACATTCCACTCGCGTTGCCAACTTGCAGAATTTCTGTCACAAGACTCAGAGTTCTTGTCAATTTTTTTCTATAATGTTCCATCTCTTGGAGTCATACGAAAACAAAAGAATGCTATTTTCATTAAAAAATACTTGAGAGCAGGAGCAGGGTGAGGTCAGCAAACTTCTATCCGTTGCAATGAAATGTATGAAAATATGAATAAATATATTATCAGAGCAGTTTCAAAACTAGAAAGCAAATAAAAGAAATCTCCAAATGTGTGATTTTTAATAAATGGAATTGGAAGGCTGCACTAGATTACTTTGTAATGGAGCATACTCCATTAATAGCTTAATTTTTCCTACACATAAGAAAAGGGAAATCATTCTCTTCTGCTCACTATAAATGCATCATATATAATATACACACACGCACAGGATGCCAGGAAAATCAAACTAAGATTGTAAACATGCTGTGTACTAAAATAATTAAAATATATGAATAAATGTAACCAGAAGACAGAAGACCTTTTATTTGTTTGGACAGCTTCAAAAGTAAATACATTTAAAATAATCTCTTGCTATTCCATCACAAGAATTTTAAATATCATAGTTACCATAACAATATTACCATTAGATTCCAGAACTGCCTCTTTCAAATGCAGACATGTAAAAAGCTTGTGCAGCCTGCACTGTACTATTTTTACTTATTTGTGTTATAATAAGGTCTTGAATCCCCAGCTGGATCTGGATATGCAAGTGTATTGCACTGATGTTGGCGCCATGAGGAATGAAGGGGAAATATTTGCAGGTACACAGCTGGAAAGATTCCCTGCCCAAAGCAGCTGATAATGATGGGTGAAGCCAGTGGAATTTTTGCCATGTGGTATGTCTGGAATATTTGTCTTTATAAAAGCCTAATACACAAGCAATAAAGTTGACTACAAATCTTTCATACCTTCACTCACACACAAATTTCTATGTGTATTTTATTTTAAATGACACACCACAACTGCAGGCAAAACAGTTGCCCTACATTTATTCTTTTTACATGCAAAATCAGAAGAATCAAATAAGGTTTTTCCAACTACCTTCAAAGATCCAACTGCCAGATAAAAATATGGTGTATGCTGTAAAACCAGAAAGTCAGCTACTGACTTACCATCCCCTGCCCCAAAGAAACCCAGCAAATTCTGAGCAAAAGTATTAAGCATGCAGCTGCTTCCTTGTGGTTGAGTTCTTTGGTAACTGATAAGGAGTAAGACTGAAAGCCTTCCTGTGTCTGAAAGGCTTACAAAACTTTGTCTCAGAAGATACCAAGGGATGAGGTCAGTCTCAGACTGTACTTACCACAGAGATGTGATTACTGCATCTCTTGTCCACCCAACACCTGTTTTCATGAAACTCACAGGAATTTAATGTCTGTGAGACAGACACCATCTCCCACAACAAACAGAAAAAAGATTAAATTTGACTGAGTTCAGAAGAAATGAGAGAGAAAACTGATAATTCTGCTTCATTTTTTGAAGGACATTTGCTTCATTTCTTTATGCAGCCAAACTAGAAATTCATCCAACCAACCAACAAACCCTTCTGTCCCAGTCTATCCCTACATCTCAGAGAACACAGGAACTGCTAGAAGCAGGGGAGGGCTCATGTGCCCTGCCTCTCATCTCTTCTTATCTCTGAAGTTGGGATTATGGTCAAACTGAAATCTGCACATATACAACCAAGCAGAAGGAAATGCTTTCGGCTCCAGAGTTACTCCTGCAGTTCTTGATCCTGAAGCACCTCCTGCTCAGTGCTGGAGAACTTCTGGGACTTTTGGAGTAACTAAATTCTCATTTTCTCCATTGGACCTCTTATGCACTACATATATTAGCATTAATCTTATCCTACTTAACAGAGCAGTAAAGTTCTACTAGCACTTTAAAGAGAAGAAATGCCTCAAGAAGTTTACCCACAGAAATTAGAGGAAAAGCAGAAATTATTCACGTAGTCTATGTTGTAAGTCCTGAAAATAAACACGTTTTACTTTATGTACTGGAAAACATCATCCTGAAGCATAACCAATCCTGAAAAGATTCATCTTTCTGTCTTATTGCCATTTCTCTGAGTACATTGGGGATGAGATTCCAGCAAACTAACAGCCAGCAAGCCTATTTTACTATGTGTATATTCCCATAAAAATAATTTCCTGGCATATCTAACCAAGACAAACCCTGTGTCCTCTTTCTTGCATTGCTACCATGAAGACTATTTCCATATATGGCCACTGGACTAGAAAGAGCCCCGGACAGGCAGTGCTGGGTGGCTGGAGACATTGTTCTGCATGGGGAGCAGTGCCCCTGCACAGGGCTGCACCTCCAGTCTAGGCAATGCAGGGATGCAGAATGCATTTCAAGCCATAAATCTGAGCTGGGTACTGTTTAAATAATTTGCCATCCAAAGCTGCAAGCAGCAAAGAGAAGGAATGCTGTCTAGTGGGGAAAGCAGGAGATGCAATCTCAGCCCTTCCAAGTGCCGCTCTGAGATTTCCTACAACTTGCATTTGAGATTTTAGCATAAAGAAAATGCATCCCTGAGAAAGCAAGCAAATAGGATACTTGTGGTTCCTTATTCGTTGCTTTTTAAGAAAATATTACATACAGCATCTGCTTTTTTTTTTGAAGTACATCTTTTTCCCACAGTGCCAGTCATACAAACCCACTAGTTCATGTGGCTGCTGGCCACCTCCCAGAAAAGACAGAGTTCTGCTGCTCTGCCCAAGCACACCAGAAGGGACCTTGCAGGCTGTCACAGCTTTCACATGCAGCTCAGCGCTCTGAGCCTTCAGGTTCTGCCATCACTGCATTGCACTGGTAATGAAGTGCAGAAAGAACCCAGCCTGACTGTCCCAGGACACTGTGCATGCCTACAGTTACTTGTAAGCCAACAAACACTGTACGGAAATCAGTTGTTCTCACCATGCATCCATCCCCCTACTGCTTTTCTACTCAGTTAGTTTTAAGGTACAATCATTCAGCACTTGACTTTTCCCAGCTAAAAAATGGAGATAATGACAACTTTAGGGACCTTTGCTTCAGCCAAAAAAGTAATGTTTGAAGTATTTTGAGATCTTCATCTGGAAATACCCATAGAAAGCAAAAGCAGACACACAGTGTTTACGGTTACAAGTTCAGTTTTCTGCTGATTTGAACTGGTAAACAAAGAGCTATGCCAGTAGTTTATTCTTCAGTAAAATTCAGTCCACATTAAGACTGAAGCCCAGAAGCCACTTGGCCTTCTCACTAAGCTGAACGTAGTGGGAGAAAAATAAGAGGTTTTCTAAGATTTTCACAGGAGATAACATGCAACTATCAAAGATGGAAGTTGGGTAGGTCAACTCAGCAGTCTCGTGACGAGCAACATAGCATCACTGAATGACGCAGCTCTGATTGTCTTCTATCTTCGGGATGAAATCTCTCTTATTAAAGGATCAGGACAATGCAGATACGAGGATAGATACATTATGTGCTCAATTACAGACCCTGAAGTGAACAGCTGCTGCACACCATAAGCTGAAGAAAAGTTAACCAAGGGTGTTTAGCATTAGGAAAAAATGAAAATAAAGGACAAGATTCAGAAATGATTCATAGATTAACTACGATGCATGATAGCTAAGTGGTGAGTGATAAATCAGAAATTCATTTTTCATTTCATTTTTGCAAGAGGCATCTCTAGGAGGAGGGGAAGGCCTTGGGGCCAGACACCATGACCATTTCCCTCTCCTATTGGTCTTCTAAAAGAAGCTGCTTCAGAAATTATTTCTTTGGCATCTGTGTATTTATAATATTAAGAGCTGTCTTCTGGGGCTAGTTTGAAGGCCCTGCACAAAGAACATATTCATCTGTGTGAATGAAGCCATTAAACAAGCTTCTCCTTGTAATCTTCTTAGTAGTCCTTTTATTTCTAATGTAGCATTTCCCAGGGATGCTCACAAATAAGTGCGGAGTTTCCATCAGTCTGTTGGATGTGCTGAGACAAACACGAAGATTTAAGACCTCACTTGACCACAAATGCACAGAAGTGCACACAGATGCTCATATACTCCAAGCGCACATGGAAAAAGCTCATGTTTGGGTCAAAGTGTGTAACTGCATACATTTTTTCATGTACATTTTTGTGGGAACATTTTAGGACTCAAGTTTGGAAATTTCCACCACTTTATGTTGTACACAGTAATACTGCTATGATCTCAGCTGTAGCCTGGATTTTATACCAGTTATGCTCAATGCTCTGCAATCAGGACAGGCTCTTTGGTGACATCAGCTATCTTTTTCAGAAAGTATTTGTTAGCTGGTAAACCTGAAACTCCCTCTGTGGTTTCCAGTCTAGACTTCAATTTGCACGTTTATCAGCTGTTTTCTTGGTGTCATCTTTACAAAAAAGGTCTAAAATATTCTGCATTTATTTCAACTCTACTTGTTCTAATGCCCCTTGTCTTTCAATAGGTATTTTAAAATTATTTGCTTAAGCAAATGCATTTTTTAGAGATTACATCTGACTTTAAAAAGATCATCTAGTTTAGCTTTCATGGGAAAATCTGGCCTTCAAATCCATTTTGAGCTTTTCAGGCTCAAGAATAAAGCTTTAACTTGATACTTGCATACAGATTTCTTCATGAGAACCTGTTGTTCCCAAGCAGTAACCCAGCTCCACTGGCATGTACGTATTCATAAAGCATCAGCGACAGAGAGGGCGTGTTTTGATTAAAAACTAAGGATGCAGAGGCCCTTTGCACAGCGTACAAATCTGTCTATTTATTACCTACAGAAATTAAAATCTTCACAAGCTCATTGTAAAGGCTCAATGAGCAAAGCCAAAGTATTTTCATAACTAAAAAAAAACAAACAGTTTTTTCATACCTTTTAAAAAACAGAAAATAAATAATTTTATTTTCTGAGGAGCCACACTTCTCAAAACTGTGGAGCTGTTGCAAGAGCTGCACAAACCACTGTGTTTTAGCTGCTGGCTTGCTATTTGTGTTGTACAGATCAGAGAATACGGCAGCAGCACTGAGAACCTGGAAACTGAGCATACAGTAGCGTTGCCATGTTGTTGGGATAGCTTCTTGGGGAGAGCTTTGCAGCAGGAGGAACTAAATAAAGTGCTGTCAGACTGTCTCCACGTGCTCTACAGATGACAGCATACTGTACAGCCATTCGACCTCATCGCACACAACTGTGCCAAATGTGTAACTGTACAAAACCTTTTTTCTTTTTTTTTTCTTCCTTAAGTAGCAGGAATGCATCCGGGATAGGGGAAAATCTAGTACTGTTCTCTGTGAAGAAAGTCTTATGGGAAAAAAAACAACAACAAAAAAAGAAAACAATTTTTATGAAAGAAAGTCTGATAACTGCCAATGTATTCAGCTTCACTAAACCCAACTTTAGCACAAGGCAGGAAATAATGGGACCGTTACTATGATCTAACTAAAGTGGAATTCCCTCAGCAAAGAATACTACTGATGAATTCATTTTCATTCCCATCAATGCTTTGAATTTGAGGTGAGTTAATAGGACACTCAGATGGTTTTTTGTTTTGAAACTTAAAATACTGGTGTTAGAAGACACCTAAAAATAATGATTAGTTTATACTAAAAGGAGAAAACATTTTTTAAGACAAAATGCAAACTCCCATTCAAAAACAAAGCATGGAAATCCTGCAATCCCCAAAAAGTATATTCTAATGTTGCAAAATAGGAAATTACAGATTAATTTTCCACTTGGTCAGTTAGCCCACAGCATAGCTCATACCTCTTAAGCTGCATTTTCTCTCTCCTCCTTTCTACAAAAAAAAAACAACTGTCATCAGGAAATTCCTATGTGTTTAATTCAATTGTGTTTGGAGAAATACAATTTATTCTCAGCAAAATAAGTACCATATAAGGTTAGATCAGAGCACAACATAGAGAATGCCTGATCGGTCTTATGCATTTAGACTTTCAACATGCACTTAAAAGGCTGGATTTAAAGGTCTTAAACCAAGCCACTAAAAGTGCAGTGGTTTCCCACACTACCTCACTGAACTCCATTATCCATTATCTGAGACTGGCAAAGTCCACTATAAAACTGCCACCCTTGCAGCAGAATTTTCCACATTTTCAGAGACCGCACAGAAAGGTGAAAAATAACAAAATCCTGTTTCTCAGAACTGTCTTTTCCAGAGCAAACTGTAACAGAGGATGCACTGCTCCATGAGAACCAGTAAACTTTAACTGACTTCAAGAATCTGAATATTTTTTCTTCCTCCTGAGCAATTCAAGCAGGTACCTCCTCAGAGTTATCTCTTTTATAAAAAGATGACTGTGATGGTGGTATGCCCAATTCTGCATGGTAGCCTTAGCTGCTATGTTGATGGACAAAAAGCTTGCTGAGTGCCAGCTTTCTTTACCTGAGGGAATCTGAGCCACCAAATCTTTCTGGAGAATGAGCTAGAGATAGAAATGGAAGGGAATTGTTATCTCCTCTCTTGGTACCAATTGCTGTGCTGTTAGTGAAAAGCATAAGCACACGCAGCAGCTGTGTGACACTGAGCTTCTGGTTGCCCAAGGAGCTGCCTCAAGGCCAGACCTTTAAGTCTGGATTTCTGCAGTCTCAGACTGGCTGGAATTTAAGTGGTTACCCCATACCTTTAGCCACTGCTCCGCCTGCTCTTTGCTCTGTACTGCCAGAACTAGTGCATCTGCTCCTTGGTGCGAGATTTTCAGCTCATGTTTCTTCTTTTTGCTGTCTTTGGGGATGTAGGTGATGCTGCAGTCATTCAGGAGCAGCTCCATCTGGGGCTGCTGGTCCTTAGAACTTTTGTAACACTGTAAAATGTAAGGGAAGGTCAAAAGTTAGATCTCATCTTTCTGAACTTTGGAGGAGAGCTGTTATTATATAGAAATTCTATTTTTAATATTTTCCACAGACCCTTTACCACATACCATGGAGCTTAGCCAATCCTGGCTTCACATTTCTCCTTCTCATCCTCTTTGCAAAAAAAATTGCTTCCAGACCATCATTAATAGAGATCTGCTGTTGCAGGACAGGTACAACATATGGAAGGCATTAAGGATCTCTGCGTTATCTTCATGATTCAACCTTGGCCTCCATCAGGTATGGAGAGGGTGATTTTGCATGTCTGTTCACAGGTAGCAGTAGAACATGCCTGTACAGTTAATAACTTTCAAGCCCAGATGCTGTGTCTGCCCTCTAGCACCATCAAGGCAAACCTAGGATGTGCCTACATGGCTGCCATCACTCAGGAACAGACAGACACCTTATTCAGCTGCCCTTTTTGTTCAGATAAGCAGCAAATTTTGTCACAGTGTGGAAAGAGGGCAAGGCAAGAGGACTGTAATTTTTCAACTAATTCAGTTTCATAATTCACTGCAAAAAATCACACAAATGTTGGTTTACTCTATAAGCTTCTAGCTGAAACTATATGAATTATATATTATTTTTCCTTTTCCCTCGGTAGCAAGTGCTGTCAAAGAACAGCCATTCCATGCTGGATTACTGATGACTTGATCTGTGTTTGAACTGGTGACTAAAACATGAGGAGTTCCACACTGTCACTTGTCCTGCTGACTGAGTTCCTATTCTTCTAGCACATCAGTATAGCTGACTTTAAGAAAGCTGTCATAGAGTGCCAGACTGCAGAACAATGTCCAGCTGTGTATATGAATGCCAAGTAATTTTATATACCAAAATAAGCTGGACTTTTACTCATACAGATAAGCATGAAGGCTGAAAATGTATCCAATATTAAACACTGACTAGTATATACACATGCAGAATATACGTATAGATGTGAGCAGAATGAAGCACATGGACTTCTGCATAATCAAGCCATGATGCAAACTGTCAGAACAGTAGCTTTTATAAGGATATCATAAACACTCCAATTTAGGCTGAACAAATAAAGCCACTGTCTGCAAATTACCCACCATCTTCCTTTCTCTCCAAGGCCAATTAACTCAAAATTTCTCCCACTTGGTCAGAACTTTTAAGGTTGTAATTGCAAAAAACTTAAGTTTTCAAGCTATGAAACCTACAAAACATACAACAGTCACTCAAAGAAGTATTTAAAAGCATACAGATTCCTTTACACTAATTTAATTTTTTTTACAGTTACGCATTACTAAAACTGAAGTATTTATATATTAGGTAACTGTATGTGAAAAAAAAAACCAATTCTCTACTAAGTCTTATTCTTAATGTCTAATTCTAATTAAAACATTTTTGTTTTTTCATTAAAGCCACATTTATAATGCTGGCAATTTCTAATCCCTCAGAACATATATTTTTTTTACTTGCATATCTCATAAGTTATATCTCCAAGTCCTCCTTCAAACAATAAACCAATCTTGTGTAATTTGGTCATTAAACTCCTATTGGGATTTTAATTTTCTTAATACCCGTTACAGAATTAATGAAAGACAATCCCTATAAAGAGAATTATCTTTGCAGACCACACATGTGGCTATAGGAAAAAAGAAAAAAATAACATATTTCTCTACAGAACAGCAAACATAATTCTAGAAGAAATACTGTGTGACTTCTGAGAAAATTTGCTTCTTTCCCTTTTTATTCTTTCTTTTCTTCAAGCTGTAATTCAGGTCCTGAAACCTGACTTGGTTCTGTTATATGTTGATAAAAATGTTGACTAAAAATAGTGACGTTACAGCACGATACAAACCAAATCACATTAAACATTTCCTTGTTTGGATACAAGCATTAAATCCTCAGTAACCATGGAAAACTAACAAGTGAACTCCAGCTAGATTTCCAGAAGCTTGTTACCCACGTATCTCTATTTCATATCATGACAGTTCCCATACAGCCAATAACTATTAATGCACTTGGAAAGTGAACACCCCTAACCTGTCCTGTACACGTGTAGAATACTGAGGTTCTACAGAAAGTTTTCTATCATGTGTTAATCAGCTTTTAATCCTTGGGATATTATAGTATTTACTAGTTACATAATTAGCTAGACCTATCGCAAACATCAGACTGGAAGACTGGGAGGCCCCAGCTGATACGTTACTATAAGCCTCAGAATGCTTTAAATATCACAGAAATGAATCTCAATTAGGCCTTCTTTTCAACAAACAAAAAGACTTCTATAAGCTGACAATTTACTAACTTTCAGAATCTTTTACTGGTGCCTCCAATCATTCAGAAACATGACAGATTTGCTTAAGAAACAAATATATCCACTAACAAGTGGATGTATTTCTATAATGCAGCTGTGCATCATGTGAATGCTGCATCTGTAATTACTGCAGAACAGATGGTGAAGGTTTAGTTTAAAGTGTATACATTACAACAGCATATGCTGCCAAGTGAGTTCTCAGTCTAACAAGGGACTTTTCTCTCCAGCAGTCTGATCCAACAGTTCATACACAAAGCTCCCTATGAGATTTTTGGTCCACAGGGAATGAAAGATTGGATTTATAGTTTCAGCAAAATTTTCTCCAAATGAAATACAGTGAAAGCTAATAGGCTAGACTTTCTTTCCTACATCAGGGAACCGACTGGGTTTAAGAGCAATAAAAGCCTAAGTGGTTACATGATACGCTTATAATTTCAGTAGTTTTCAGATTCTTGGGTAAATCATAACCGAACTTGTTGGTACGGTTACCGTAGACTTGGCCACTGTTTGCAGAACTTATTCCAAAGCTAAATCTCTATAAAAATAAATACACAGTCTAAAAGGTAGAAAGAAAATACAGGCAGATAGAAATAAGAATTACCAGTAGTTTGTTTTCTTTGATAACACACAGTAGTTTGGTCCATTGCCCGAATCGTTTCTTTCTAAGTAGGAAGGCACAAATTTTGGCATCCTTCACCAGATCCATAGAGGCCTCCTCAGAAGGCCACTGATGTCTCATTTTCTTCCCCTTTCCATCCTCTTCCTCTTCATCATAGGATTCATAAGAGCTGCTCATAGCATCTGAGTCATAATCTTCAAGAAAAGCATGAGAGAGTCAAGTTAAAACATTTAGCCATTAAGTGTACAGAAATAACTGAAGAGCCCAACAGGGTGCCTTTTTAAACTAAGGCTTTTGAATGTCAGCCATGAACAAACTACTGTTTCAGTGCTTAGTAATATCAGTACATTAAGTTAATTAAATAAAAGATGTATTTCCATTATGAAATTCTACAAGAGACAGAGGTGTTGAAACCTTGTGAATTTGAATTGAAAAACAAGCTGGGAATAAATGGCTTTACTACCTTCAAAGTGTTACTTGGCAGATACTTTCATCATTTGTAGTTCTTTTACAGAGAAAATGTCTCGATCTCACTGATTGCAGAATGCAGAATGTAGGCATAGAAATGTAAATATTAGTAAAGCACATTAAGAAATAAACACCGCATATGACAAAGGTCACAAGAATAAATGTGGGGGTACTATCTACCTGTCATAACACTTCTTGTAGTTCACAATTACAGCACCTGCAGAGACATGATTAATGTTGGATAGGCGATGATGTTCCCTGAACTATGGATTCTGCTCATCTTAAAACCATTCTGCAAAAATACTTCTTATGCGCTTAGCTGAAGTAGTTTAATCCTGCACCAAGTTTCATGAAGTAGTGGCAAGATTCCTTTTTAATTACGCAATCTTTGCTTAGTTCTTATGCTTTCAATAATGCAGACAGCTCTCTAGCAGTCCGCTCTATTACAAAACTAATTTTCTATTACTACAGAGCCCTCATTTCCACCATGCATATTTAGTTGATTATGTGGGTATACATGAAGCCCCTCAGATAATTACTGAGACATGAAGACACACTTGTTTTCCAGTGGCACATGGAGAAGTGAACAATCTTCCCACGGAGAAGAATTGCTTGGAATATTTCCCGTTGATAAAATTTCTCCCAAAAACTTCAAGGAAGAAAATCTCTCATTTGCTTTAGCTAGGTACTTCGGACACAGCCTGGGACATAGGAAAGAGACCCACAGCACTTAGGAACAAGACAAGGGACTGAATTGCTGGTGAGCTTATTATGTGTCTGTCCCAACCCGTGTGCAGCTGACAACAGGATATACCAGAGGCTCCAAATTGACCCCAGATATTCTAATCTCATATGTAGTATACACAATAGTTTGATCTTCATTTAAAATAGATATTTTAAAAAAATATAGATGAGGCTGCACTCGGAATTGTAATTAAGATCTGAAAATGTATTATGCACGTGAACAGACTCTTAAGGTTTTGGAGGGGTGGTGGTGGGGAGGAAGGAGAGAAATATGAAAATCCGGTAGGAAAAAAAGAAAGTGAAAAGCATCTGTCCAAAATAAACTGTTCTGGGGTTTTATCAAATCTAATCAAGTCTGAGTGACTTTAATGATTTCTAGGGATAGTATATAGTATGAAAGTTTCCTTGCTACTAATGATATTACAAAAATACTCTGTAGGAATATTTGCTTAAGATAATTGCATCTATCCCAACAGTTATTTAACAGTTTATTCTTTCATTTCTTATACCTCCAGAAACTTGCTGTTACCGTCTTCTTTATCTCAGCAGTCTGACTACCTATAGCTTCTATCTTTGGTTAATACAGTGCTTTGGTGGCTTATTTTAATAGTCATATACACTAGGTTTTGTGAAAATTTTGGATGTTGATAAAATTACTAATGGTATATTAAATTTAAAAGCAACTTAATTATAGAAGAAGAGCAGATGATTTTTAATACAAATTATAAGCCAAGGATATAAGAAAATTTAGCAAAATCACAGCAGGGCGATGGCACTTTTGCACTCATAAGTTACTGTAAAAAAGCTTCAGATATCTGGGTACATATACTAACATTTATGTAAGTATTAATTAAATTTGAAGGCTGATATCCTAAATATTGTTATGGATTTGGATGGTTAAGTACAAAAAGATATCAGTTTCATACTGTGCCACTTTTTTTTTCTAGGTGATCCTTTAGCCATGCTATTAATATCTGTGCTATTAGTATTTTCCTGCCTGAGTATGACTTTTGTTTAATAACAAAACACAAGTCAGCAGTTCACCAGATTGCAAGGTATAGCAGGACCACCCTGCAGCATTTCAAGCAAGGAAGTAAGAAGAGAAGTGATCCTGCTACCCTAAGTTCCTTCATTTACTTTGCATTATATGAAGCTACTTCTTATCTTGAATTTCCCAGCAAATTAAGAGCTGCCAGGTACCTTGCTTTGGTTTTTAATGTTTAGAGGTAACAAACAATGACAAGCAAATTTCCCTGCCACACAGTGTATAATTATTGTTTTCAGGTGATGCCTATGGAAGTACTTAAGGACAGAAATATTATTTTATGTTTTTGCTTTGGTTCAAATAATAGAAACAGTGAAAAATGCAGGCAGATATCCCTTCAATCTTCAGAACACACACACACAAAAAATGACTAGGCCATACAAAAATATTAAATTACCTCACCCAATAAAAAAGAGTAGCAAAAGGGAAAATCTTTGCAACTTTTTATTATAAAACACCGTGCATACATTCTCATTACTATGCCCTCATCCTGTCTCCTCTTAAGTGCAGTGAGTCTCTGCATAAGTACTGGAATTTGACAGAGAGTACTTGTGTGCTGCCAAAGGAAGTTTTAATGGTCACCTGGGGGACTAGCCTATGCCTTTTGCACAAAACAAGTATGTAACACTCTCGTGCATTAAACATGGCTTATGGGAGCCAGTATAAATGATGTGTTGCTACATCATCAATCAATAGAAATTCTGCATGTTTTCAATAATTACTCAATTCAGAAAAGACAATTTTTTGCTTTTTATTTGTATACTTTAGCAAGTAAATCAGTGCAATAGGAGAATAACAACAGATCAGCAGATCAAGACCAATTTTGAGGCCTCTACACTATCAGCAGTTTAGTGAGTAGACAATACTTAACTCTGGACCCCTGATTCAAATGTCTCCAGCACAGTCATGCTTCAAATATGCCCAGAGGCCCAATCAGGACCTTCTGCCTACAGCAGCAGTCGAAACATCAGTGTGCACCTAACCTGAAGCTCCAGATTTGCTTTCTTCTAAAAGGAGCCTGGATTGTGCAGATCAAAACTTTTCTGTATACCAAAACAATGCATGGCTGGTGAGGACAATGAAACTACACTTATGACATACAACAACAGCACCAATAGAGATATAACTGCTGAATTCTAAAAAAAGCTGAAAGGCACTAGAATTAGCATTCAATTGCTGTGAAAATAATCTGGATATATACTACTCACTGGAAGTGATATATTCAGGAGCCTTCCCAGGACTAAGTGGCACTGCCTCTTCATAATAGCCTTCTGGAAGGGAAGATGTCGGTAAAGGCGGAGGCCCATTATCTGGTGGCTAAATGAAGGGAAAAAAGAATAAATGAGAAAGTAATTAAAGTTATTAAATAATAACAAGGAGTTAAAATAAACGTGGTCAGAACATCTGCTCATGATCAGCTCATAAGGCTGGTTATATATTGTATGTACACACACATACATACATAGAGTCACATATGAGACGCATAGCCATTCGGTTTACATACTTAACTATATAACTGTTTTTCACCTTAACTATCTCTAAAGTCAAGGCTCTGAAGGAGTTGGATGTTGTCCTTTGAATAAGATGCAGAGTAGCAGGTTTTAGGAGAAAAACAAGTCCAAATCTCAAGCTTAATTATATGATGTTATAATTAAACAATAATAAGTAGAGGTTGAGATTTGAAGATGGGAAGTGACTTAATTATGCTTCAAACTTTTACATCTGCTCATAATAAGGAAGCAGAACCTTCTCTCCTGTACTCAAACTCAGTCCTTTGGGACACAATATGATCCAAAATGTTGAAAAGATATAGTTTCTAAGAACTAGAAACTCAGAAGATCTCTGTAGGAAAGAGACTTATGTGCGTAGGCTGTTTTACCCTTTTGAAGCTTATTTATTAGAAATCTATATCTAAAATAATTCATATACAGTAGCAAATAAAAACCCTTGTGGTGTTTTTCAATAGCAAATTAATTCTTAATATAGATATTAATTCTTTACTTAGAGAAAACTGAGCAACAAATAACGAATAGTTTGGAACATCGAGAAACTATTATATGATAAAATAAATATTTCAAATACCAGGTCAAATTCTGAAATGCTTCTTTTCTAAATATAAACCTGCTTTAAATTTAAAGCTGACCAACTGCTGGTATGTTGATCTAGTAGCAAAGTAAATTTAGTGCTCTGTGACTTCTTCCGTATGACTTTACTGTTCTATTTTTTAGCAAAAAAACAAAACTGCATTTTATATAAATCACACAGATTTGCCATAAGTTTTCAGTTTTACATTTTCATATTGGAGGAAATCATATAACACAATCATAGAGTGGCTTGGGTTGAAAGGGACCTTACAGAACATCTCATTCCACCCCCCTGCCATAGGCAGGGTTGCCAAGCAATAAATTAGTTACTGGATCAGGTTGTTCAGGGCTCCATACAACCTGGCCTTGAACACCTCCAGGGACAGAACACTCAGAACTTAAGTCTTTTTCCAAAGCCAGTGGTTTATTGCACTATTACAAAACCATAACTTGTAAGCAATCTTATTTCTGCAGTAACAGTTTCTCAATAAATTGTCATGCAAAGAAATAAATGTGTTTGTCTTCATTAGGCTCAAAACTCAGGGAACAAAGATATCAAAGTAAGAAACTAAGGTGGGCTTTGATCATGACCAGATAAAGACACTTCTGGAACACCATTCAGATCTCAGGTGGGCAAAACAATCAAGGAAATGCATAAAGCCTTTTTGCACAGTATACAGGTGAAGACACAGTGACTAGATTCCTCTTTTGCTATAGGTCTAAAGTCATCTGGAAAGAACTTGAGCATTAATAACATGACATTGTCTGCCTTTAAATTATTTGTCACTTTCATCTCCGCATTTCAGAGCCAGACATGACACTGACTACATGCCGATGCGAGACATCTAATTCTCAACTAGAAGATGATGATTACCAGCCTAAGAATGCTCTGTAGTTAAATTTATATACAGTAGGTTATTTCATCTCATACGTAGATGCTTATGAATTCCCAGTGGTGCAGAAAGAAAAGGAAAAAATCTACACTTCAGTTCATTGAGCACTAACTTGTCATCATGCAGCAGAAACTTCCTTATGACCAATGAAATGATTTGTGACTGACACAAAAATTCTTGGTCAGACTGACTTTCATACTAATATTATTTCTATATCAAATGATATAGGCATTGAATATGTCACACTCAACTACAGATAAGAGAAGGAAATTACTGCTATCTACAGTGTGAATCAAATGAATTTTCATTGGAGACCAGTTTTGCTAGAACAATTATCTGTCAAAGAAGCAAAATAATGAAAAAATGCGACTTTTAGTGTAATTTCCGTGTGATTCTGTTGAAAAACACAAATTGCAAATCTGCACATCATCACAACTAAATGAGTCTTTCAAGGTTATCTGCTGCTGTGCAACAGGTATAAGAGACATTAAAACATGCTTTGCGTTACTTAATATTGAAATATTGACAGCACATCGTGAATTCTGCACAATACACCAGCACAAATCAGCTCTGTGTGGACTGCATTGTTAGACACATCAGAGCGAACTTCTTCAAGAAGAATTTTCATTTTTATGTATTTTTTATTTTCTCTTTACAGAGCCTTGCTTAAGTGAGTCATGGTCAAGGTTCCCGGGGCAGTGCAGATTCATATCACCTCTTTCATCAGACACATACATTAATATCTTGGTCTAGCCTCAAACTATTTTCCTTGTCATGTGTATAAATGTTATATGAAATTCCTATTATTATTAAGCCTAAGTCACCCAGGAAATAGCCATCCTGAGTATCATACCAATTTTAACTTGACATCACAATGAAGTTTCAAAGCTATCCAGAAATGAAGAAGAGGTTCCAATACAGAACAGGAGAAAAAAGAAAAAAAGAAAAAGCTTGTTTTTAGACAAAATGTTATTCAGAAGGAAAGAAAAAAGGAAATGAAACACAAATGGTGCTTGTCTGAATTCGACCCTGCTGGAGCACCGTTACTTCATGTAGCTGGGGCGGGCTGCGCTGTGCAGCCAATGTCAACACAGATGGAATCTATTGGTGAATTACCCAGCCCTTGGTTCTGAAATGCAGTTTGCAGTGCCTGCCATAACAAAGTTGAAAATAATTATAAAAAATATTGTATTTTTGAAAAAAAAAAAAAAATAGGAGAAACAAAAACATCCAACATTAAATACTTCTGATTAAAGCAAGGCTGCTTTCTTATTGAAAGAAAATCCGACTGACTGAAGACAAAGCGAAACTGTCTTATGCAAAATTGTATCATAAACAGCTACATCTTTTTGGGTACTATGGAACTCGTACATCCTTGAGCATCAAGAAAAGTAAAATGTGAGCATTCTGATACTATTTAATAATATTTATATTTGTTTTTCTATTACTAGTTGCATTGCTTAATTTTTTCAAATTGGCAGTTCTTCAGTGAAAGAACTATGGTGAAGTTATGAGTTAGGAACTGGTATAACTCTTGACTGAATAACTTTTAATTAGCTTAACGAAAAATAAAAAGTCCTTAAGAACACTAAATGATTTACATATTACATATAAGGATTAAGTCTCAAAAAAACCATAAAACACACAGTTTGAGTGGTATCAGGAGGAAAAACCTGGTAACCTGCACAAAACGCATTAGTACGCATTTTTACTTATATTTTTTACAACAGCCACAGGGAAGAAAGTTAAAGAATGCTGCCTTTCAGGGCAAATAACTTTGTTCAATCACAGGAATAAGAACTGAGTTAGAAAAACATTACCATTATTTTTATGTCTGTGGAGGAAAAGGGACAAAGATGAGTGAGATACTGTTGCCCAGAATAACACTAGTGATGTTGAAACAACAGATAAAGGTGTCTAACAGGTGCTGGGTCTGAGAAAAAAAAAGAGCAATGCTTTTCCTGAAACCAAGAAGTGGGAGGGGTGATGATTACACTACAGAACTGAGATCTCTCAAGACACTAAAAATTGGGTTGTTTGTGGGATGCCCAAAAACAACTTACAGGAGGCACTGCCAAGAGCAATAAACAGGTATCTCTAAATAAGCAATATTTATCTGCATATAAAAGCTCATTTTACCAGTCAGTATTAAGAAGACTTAGTGCAGATATGAATTTTGTGGCTTAGTATGGTTTGCCCCTCCGCCTACCCCTCTGTGTTAAACAGATCACAAATAAACTCTTTCTTTCTTTATCCCTGGAGACCAAATTCTTAATTTCCCCCTTCTGCCCAGGGATTACCAAGACAGATAGCAATGTTTTTAGGAATAGCCTATCTAATACCTGATGATGATATAGTGGTATATAGCGTGCAAAGTGTTATGAAAGGCAGAGGAAAAGAAATGTCATCCTCCAGAGCCTGAGGTTATAAAATCGCTTCATACCCCAATGAAGATGTACACTATGCAGGAAATAGAAAGAAACAATTCAATTTATACAGTGATTCAGGACTTGGAGATTTTCTGTGAAAAGCAGCAAGTTTGACAGAAGTAAACACAGTTGATACACCCAGTTCCACAGCTGTGCTCATACATGTTATTTGATCAACCACCAGCTCAAGCCCAGCTGGGCAGTGGGGCAGCTGCTGTGTTACCCATCAGTGCTGCAGAACAACAATGCAAGACTGCAAGAGTGCATAATAAAGCTATTCAGAAGCCAGCAAGCAAATGTGGGATGTCAAGAAGAGACTGTGACACATGCACATGTCTTTTGTATCGGGGCAAGCTTCTAAGTGACCCCCATACAACCCCATCATCAACCTTGGAGGGGTAAGACTAATCCCACTATCCAGATGTAAAAAAAAAAAAAAAAAAAGATGTCCAGAAGGGAAGGTGACTTGAGAAATTGAGTGACTGAGTGCCAATATAATTGGAAAATTGACCAAATTGACCATACATTTCAACTAGGCTTCATCACATTGCAGTAATGGCTGAAAAATGAGCATCACTAGATGTCAGGCACTGGGAGATGGTGTGAAAGTTGTTACATAATGTCAAACTCACTAAGGCACTAAAAAGAAATTGCTGTTTATTGCCAGCAAATGAGGACATGGATGGCCCAGGGATATATTCAGGACAGAAATGCTGACTATAACGGACAATACAGAAGTGAAATGTTATCCTGAGCATAGACAAGCAAAAGCCAAGAAGAATTCTTCATTTGAGCTCAGCTCTGTATTCCAAGGTTATTAATTTCTTGAGTTGCTGACTGGACCCTAAGAAAGCAGGAGCCAAATCATGTGATAAAGAAGTCTAACAATTCCTCTTTTCAGTCTCTGAGCA